TGATATTGTGATTTTATTGAAGGTAAAGAATCAAGGCTTTCACATTTTCCTTAAAGATTTCAACTGTACTGGTGTTATGGTGGAATGAAGGTTGGCCTCATGATTTATAACAATTTCATATTTTTAGAAATTCAGATTTAATTTTTCTTAAAAAACAAACATTGCCCACCACATGTTTTGTACACACATAATAATAAAAAATATGTGTTTTTAAAAATTCTCAGTTGATGAGGAAGAGATTCTAAGATGTTATTTTCTGTTTGAACCAAGTACACATAAAATGACTGCACATAAGGGCTCTCTGTCCACGTTGGTTGGAGCAGGCGTTTGTATTGGGTACAGTGGTTTGGCTGACCAATTTTTAAAAGTCATGAGGTTCACATCATCCAAGTTACAACTTGTTTTGAATTGTTAAGGAATTGTCCAATTACTTTGTCGCTAATACTTTTAAGGAGACTTTTTTTGTGTCAAAGTTACTTTTGTACCTTATGAACTTCTTGGGAAATGATTGGATGTTCTATCTGAATACATCTTCTCGAGGCAAGCGAGTTTAACTGACTATAAAAGTCCAGTATCCACCCTTGACGAACTAGGCTGGTATTAGGGAGTTACATTTTGGCTGGACTAACGAGTATATGCATAGTCCAATCGAAATCTCGCAATGAAATCGAAATCCGTTTCATAAACTGTCGTGCAGGTTACGGTCAATTGCAGGATTTGTAAAGCATATGCACCGCCAACTTGTTGTCAACAGATATTTTCCAAACCTTTTCATGTTTTTAATCAAGGTGCTCGCGTGATTTGATGCACTTCTCAATGTAAGACCCATTTTATCACAATATATATCTTGATTAACGATCAGATCGTTTTGACTGGGCGCCGCCATTTTGTTTGAAACAAGTGCAAGTGATGGAATCGGATTGGTCCATAGGAGAGGCTCAAAAGGGCTATGGCCATAATAACTACTGGTGGCGCTACGATCGTGCCCAGGAATTCCAGCCTAGTTCGGCAAGGCTGGAAACTGGACTTTTAAAGTCAGTTGACTCTCTTGCCTCGGGAAGATGGTCTGAATAAGGATGCAGCCTTATCAGGGAGACAGCGGATGGCCAGTGATGACTGCATCATGTAGAGACTACGCTGCTGCTGAGATGACTTCTTTAATAAATTAAAAAAAGACTTTCTTTCTACGTCAAATTCTGATTGAAAGTTTTCATGTGATAATTAAAATCTTATGTTATGTACATATTAATTCTTATAATCATGATAATCTCATGAATGTCTTAAGTTAACCTCATGATTGCAGAATTGTATGATTTGTGATTTCACATATCTTTAAAAAATCTTTAAATAAATATTAAAAATTATTGCAGTATCAAAGGTGATGAGTTTTGATCTTGTTTGCTCCATTTGAAATTGTTAGGAACAAATATGTCCAATTCAGGTACAGTTTAGTCAATGTCTTGGTGTTCTCACTTGATAGGAAAGATCATTTGTAAGCCTGTGTTCACTGTGGCTGTCATTTACAGATATAAGAAGCTCATCTACCAAATAGAATCTTGTGCAAATCTTTACAAAGCATATGGTTTCAATGAAAAGGTCAGAATGATGTCATGCATGCTGATATGTGTGTCACAAAACAGTCCCTTCCCTCTCATCTTGCCAATGTATTTTTCCACTGTGAAATGTCATTTGTAGAAGGTATTTTTGAAGTACTGTATGGCTGGGATGAAGCCTTCAACCTTAAATGATGTCTTTGTCAAGAAAGTTAACCTGTCTTTTTAATCCAAGTCCTGTTTTGTTAGAACCAAGAGTAATGGGTCTGTGAGAAATGCTTTTTGCGTAATATAGATACCGGTACCAATCCATTTCAGTACTGGCTCATTCATGTGAAAATAAACATGTGCAGACTATTAATGGCTGTAATTTAATTCAAACTGATTTATTTTTGTGTTTTCGTGGCCGACCGATTGATACTAACACCCGAACTTATTAAATACGATAACAGGATTTATTCATACTTCGTGTAAGATATTCAAAAGTTTTGGATAGTGTTACTTTGAACATATTAAAGCACTTTGTACATATGAAGTATTTTGTAGCTGTTTTGTAAAATATAATTAAGCTTTCTTGCCTGGTAGTTTTTCATGAAAATACTTTCATACCAAATTTCATACATAGGACCCTTTCATGCAGTGCTCAAGGACCATCTTCAGTGGTGATGCCTGTATTAAGATGATGTGTTAGTTTAACATGCACGTCCATGAACACATTTGACGACAGACACGACCTTGTGATATAAAATACATGCCATGACACATCTCCCTTTTTATGCTAGTTTCATAGTGAAAAGGTTGTTTTATTTTGAAGAGATCTTCAATTTTCTGTAGTCTGTGTTTTGTATAAAAGAAATCCACAACAAGCCTAGTATTGAGCTCCATGCAGTTATGTGGCTGTTCCTCGCTCTCTCATGATGATGATGATGATGATGATGATGATGATGATGAAACAACGGCTTCTGGTGCCTCACATCATAAAATATTTAATTAAATGTCCCATATTGCATGAATTTAGTTTGATTGACATCATTAAGTGAAATCCATGTACCTAATAATCCATGAACTCAAATAATATCATAAGATGTGACGTTTTAGTCTTGCAAAAATCTTAATTAGTGCTATGGTCAAATAGTCAATAAATATTCCAAAGTTCAAGCTAAGGAAGATTTAATGTCCCATAGTCACCGTATTAAGTGCCCTACTCCAATAACCAACTTATACACCAGTCTGCAAGTACTGTAATCTTTATGAGCGCCTTGTACTAGGGCTGATTAGTAAGTCAGAAAATACAACTGTACATGTACAGGAGGGGTTGTATATTCTGCTTGCAGACATTGAGTTTTTCCCCCCAAATGAACACAATACCATGGACATAACACTGGCTTATTATGGTGAATAGGGTATATCCATTTTTTTTCACAGAACAAGTCTAGTCTTCTTGGAAGAGTACAGTATTTGAAAAGATAGATTAATATACAAATATAATTCAAATATTTGCTGGTGTGTAGCAAGGTTAGGCTAGACTTGGGGAGATCTTATGCAATATCAAACTCCTAACAGGGCATTTTGACTGAGAGCAAAGTTAGAGATGCAGCACAAGCTGCAATGGAGCTTGATCTAGAGCGTCACTAGCAACCAATGATCTTATTTTGTTGACAGTTATCGTGAAATATCTGCCATTCATTTATCATCCCATGTGGTGTAATTTATTTGTTCCAAAATAAAGAGAAAGCTGGAATCAACTGTATGTTGTATGTGGTGTTTTCATGGATACCTTTTGGAGGCACAATTAGCCCAGTCATTTAAGGCAATTCAATTTTGTAGAGTTGCGTCCCTTACGTATGGCAGGATCTTGTGACCAGGTTACCCAAAAGTGGATAGTGCCTGCCTGGAGAGCAGGTCTGTGGTTGGATTCTCTGGCAGCATCAAACCAAAAGATGTTAAATGGTACATGTCATTGCCCTGCCTGGCGCTCGGCATTAGGGGCTAGAACAAGGACTGGTCAGCTCGGAGTCATGTGCTGTGTCTGAGTGGGGTATTCATGTGAAACTACGGATGGTATTTCAGTCATCTTCCCCAGGCAAGAGAGTTAACTGACTTTAAAGTCCAGTTTCCACCCTTGCCGAACTAGACTGGAATTCTTGGGCTCAATCGTAGTGCCACTAGTGGTTATTACGAGTTATGTCCCTTCGAAGCCTCTCCTATGGGCCAATCAGATTCCACCTCTCGTATCACTTACATTTGTTTCAAACAAAATGGCGGCGATCTGATCAATAATCAACATCTATATTGTGATAAAACGGGTCTTACATCCCGAAGTGCATCAAAGCACCTTGGTTAAAAACATGAATAGATTTTGAAAATCTGTTGGCGAGTTGCACATGCATTGCAAATCTTGCAATCTACCGAAATCTGCACGACAGTTTACGAACCAGATTTCGATTTCGTTGCACAATTATGATTGGACTATGCATAGACTCGTTAGTCCAGCTAAACTGTAACTCCATAACACCAGCCTCGTTCGGCAAGAGTGGAAAGTGGACTTTTATAGTCAGTTAACTCCCTTGCCTTGGGAAGATGTATTTCAGTGGGCTATAGCATCATTAGTCCACACACCCAGTGCTCCACACCAGACACACGACACCACACACTAACAGCCACTAAGGGGGTTTTGTGGCTTGTAACAAATGACGTAAGAGACTGGGGTACCAACAGCTCAAGAAGCAAAATCACATCCTGATTGGCACTAAATTCAACTTGTTGGGTAAATGAAAGTTTGTTGTTTGTTGTTGTTTAACGTGGCACTATATGCTATATGATAGCTGTTTGTAAATAATCGAGTCTGGACCAGACAATACAGTGACTGACATGAGCATCAATCTCCGCATATGGCATATGATGACATGCATCAACTATGACAAGTATGGGTTGCTGAAGACTTATTCTAAACCAGATTCTTCACGGGCTGTTAATGTTAGTGAAGCCCCACAACCTGGCCTGCACATTAAACTATTTCTCTACATATTAGTAGGTGAGGTGAAATTGGGTTTAATGTCGCGTCCAAGACTATTGCACTTATATAGCGATGTGCATGCACGTGCGTGTGTGTGGGGGGGGGCTTGTACTAGTCCGGACTGATACCGATTTATAGTGCTAGCCCACTGAGATACCCTGCTGCAGTTTAACAGGAATACCCCACTATACTGACTCCGAGCCGACCAGTCTTTGTTTTAGCCCCTGAATGTCGAGGCCAGACAGGGTAACAACAAGTACCATCTTTTAATGTCTTTGGTATGACGCGGCTGGCGATCGAACCCCGGACCATCCGCTCTCCGGGCGGACGCTCTACCGCTAGACCACGGAGGCGGTCTCCATATTAGTAGCTTCAATATACAAATATCCTTATGTTGATGATACTGGTGCCTGAACAGGAAAACATCCAACAAGAAATAACAGAAACTATATTAGTTCTCCCTGAATAGTACAGATACAAAGTCACACTCCTTAACCTGATGCTGCTGTAGCAGCTTGGTCTTGTCTCGCTTGGAGGATGTACAGGATAGTGAAGAGCTGAAACAGGGGTGGTAACATGTGAGTGTCAAGGTTATCTGGGGTGGTAACATGTGAGTGTCGTTACCTCGGGTGGTAACACGTGAGTATCCTGGTTACCTGGGGTGGTAAAATGTGAGTGTTGTGGTTACCTGTGGTGGTAACATGTGAGTATCCTGGTTACCTGGGCTGGTAAAATGTGAGTGTTGTGGTTACCTGTGGTGGTAACATGTGAGTGTCATGGTTATCTGGAGTGGTAACATGTGAGTATCCTGGTTACCTGGGGTGGTAAAATGTGAGTGTTGTGGTTACCTGTGGTGGTAACATGTGAGTGTTTTGGTTACTGGGGGTGGTAACATGTGAATGTTGTGGTTACTGGGGGTGGTAACATGTGAGTGTTGTGGTTACCTGGGGTGGTAACATGTGAGTGTCAGTACCTGGGGTGGTAACATGTGAGTATCATTGTTACCTGGGGTGGTAACATATGAGTGTCATGGATATCTGGGGTGGAAACTTGTGAGTGTCATGGTTACCTGGGGTGGTAACATGTGACTGTCATGGTTACCTGGGGTGGAAACTTGTGAGTGTCATGGTTACCTGGGGTGGTAACATGTGAGTGTCATGGTTATCTGGAGTGGTAGCATGTGAGTCATGGTTACCTGGGCTGGTAAAATGTGAGTGTTGTGGTTACCTGGGGTGGTAACATGTGAGTGTCATGGTTATCTGGAGTGGTAGCATGTGAGTCATGGTTACCTGGGGTGGTAAAATGTGAGTGTTGTGGTTACCTGTGGTGGTAACATGTGAATGTTGTGGTTACCTGGGGTGGTAACATGTGAGTGTCAGTACCTGAGGTGGTAACATGTGAGTATCATTGTTACCTGGGGTAGTAACACGTGAGTGTCATGGTTACCTGGGGTGGTAACATGTGAGTGTCATGGTTACCTGGGGTGGAAACATGTGAGTGTTGTGGTTACCTGGGGTGGAAACTTGTGAGTGTCATGGTTACCTGGGGTGGAAACTTGTGTGTGTCATGGTTACCTGGGGTGGTAACATGTGAGTGTCATGGTTATCTGGAGTGGTAGCATGTGAGTCATGGTTACCTGGGCTGGTAAAATGTGAGTGTTGTGGTTACCGGGGGTGGTAACATGTGAGTGTTGTGGTTATCTGGGGTGGTAGCTTGTGAGTGTCGTTGTTACCGGGGGTGGTAACATTTGAGTGTTGTGGTTACCTGGGTGGTAACATGTGTGTCGTTACCTGGGGTGGTAACATGTGAGTCATGGTTACCTCGGGTGGTAACATGTGAGTGTTGTGGTTACCGGGGGTGGTAACATGTGAGTGTTGTGGTTATCTGGGGTGGTAGCACGTGAGTGTCATTGTTACCTGGGGTGGTAACATATGAGTCATGGTTACCTGGGGTGGTAACATGTGAGTGTCGTTGTTACCTGGGGTGGTAACATGTGAGTGTTGTGGTTATCTGGGGTGGTAACATGTGAGTGTTGTGGTTACCTGGGGTGGTAACATGTAAGTGTGTTGTGGTTACCTTTGGTGGTAACATGTGAGTGTCATGGTTACCTGGGGTGGAAACATGTGAGTGTCATGGTTACCTGGGGTGGTAACATGTGAGTGTCATGGTTACCTGGGGTGGAAACATGTGAGTGTCATGGTTACCTGGGGTGGAAACATGTGAGTGTCATGGTTACCTGGGGTGGAAACATGTGAGTGTCATGGTTACCTGGGGTGGAAACATGTGAGTGTCATTGTTACCTGGGGTGGTATCATGTGAGTGTCATGGTTACCTGGGGTGGTAACATGTGAGTGTTGTGGTTACCTGGGGTGGTAACATGTGAGAGTTGTGGTTACCTGGAGTGGTAACATGTGAGTGTCATGGTTACCTGGGGTGGTAACATGTGAGTGTTGTGGTTACCTGGGGTGGTAACATGTGAGAGTTGTGGTTACCTGGGGTGGTAGCATGTGAGTGTCATGGGTACCTGGGGTGGTAACATGTGAGTGTTGTGGTTACCTGGGGTGGTAACATGTGAGTATCATGATTACCTGGGGTGGTAACATGTGAGTGTCATGGTTATCTGGAATGGTAGCATGTGAGTCATGGTTACCTGGGGTGGTAAAATGTGAGTGTTGTGGTAACCGGGGGTGGCAACATGTGTGTCGTTGTTACCTGGGGTGGTAACATGTGAGAGTTGTGGTTACCTGGAGTGGTAACATGTGTGTATCATGGTTACCTGGGTTGGTAACATGTGAGTGTTGTGGTTACCTGGGGTGGTAGCATGTGTGTCGTTGTTACCTGGGGTGGTAACATGTGAGTGTTTTGGTTACCTGGGGTGGTAACATGTGAGAGTTGTGGTTACCTGGAGTGGTAACATGTGCGTATCATGGTTACCTGGGGTGGTAACATATGAGTGTCATGGATATCTGGGGTGGTAACATGTGAGTGTCATGGTTACCTGGGGTGGTAACATGTGAGTGTCATGGTTACCTGGGGTGGAAACATGTGAGTGTTGTGGTAACCTGGGGTGGTAAAATGTGAGTGTCATGGTTACCTAGGGTGGAAACTTGTGAGTGTCATGGTTACCTGGGGTGGTAACATGTGAGTGTCATGGTGACCTTGGGTGGTAACATGTGAGTGTTGTGGTTACCTGGGGTGGTAACATGTGAGTGTTGTGGTTACCTGGGGGTGGTAACATGTGAGTGTCATGGTTACCTGGGGTGGAAACATGAGTGTCATGGTTACTTGGGGTGGTAACATGTGAGTGTCATGGTTACCTGGGGTGGTAACATGTGAGTGTCATGGTTACCTGGGGTGGAAACATGTGAGTGTTGTGGTTACCTGGGGTGGTAAAATGTGAGTGTCATGGTTACCTGGGGTGGAAACTTGTGAGTGTCATGGTTACCTGGGGTGGTAACATGTGAGTGTCATGGTTACCTGGGGTGATAACATGTGAGTGTTGTGGTTACCTGGGGTGGTAACATGTGAGTGTTGTGGTTACCTGGGGGTGGTAACATGTGAGTGTCATGGTTACCTGGGATGGAAACATGAGTGTCATGGTTACCAGGGGTGGTAACATGTGAGTGTCATGGTTACCTGGGGTGGTAACATGTGAGTGTCATTGTTACCTGGGGTGGTAACATGTGAGTGTTGGGGTTACCTGGGGTGGTAATATGTGAGTGTTGTGGTTACCAGGGGTGGTAACATGTGTGTCTTTACCTGGGGTGGTAACATGTAAGTCAGGGTTACCTGGGATGGTAAAATGTGAGTGTTGTGGTTACCGGGGGTGGTAACATGTGAGTGTTGTGGTTATCTGGGGTGGTAACATGTGAGTGTTGTGGTTAACAGGGGTGGTAACGTGTGTCTTTACCTGGGGTGGTAACATGTAAGTCAGGGTTACCTGGGATGGTAAAATGTGAGTGTTGTGGTTACCGGGGGTGGTAACATGTGAGTGTTGTGGTTATCTGGGGTGGTAGCATGTGAGTGTCATGGTTACCTGGGGTGGAAACGTGTGTCGTTGTTACCTGGGGTGGTAACATGTGAGTGTTGTGGTTACCTGGAGTGGTAACATGTGAGTATCATGATTACCTTGGGTGGTAACATGTGAGTGTCATGGTTATCTGGAATGGTAGCATGTGAGTCATGGTTACCTGGGGTGGTAAAATGTGAGTGTTGTGGTTACCGGGGGTGGTAACATGTGAGTGTTGTGGTTATCTGGGGTGGTAGCACGTGAGTGTTGTGGTTACCTGGGTTGGTATCATGTGAGTGTTGTGGTTACCTGGGGTGGTAACATGTGAGTGTCATGGTTACCTGGGGTGGTAACATGTGAGTGTTGTGGTTACCGGGGGTGGTAACATGTGAGTGTTGTGGTTACCTTGGGTGGTAGCACGTGAGTGTCATTACCTGGGGTGGTAACATGTGAGCATCATGGTTACACGGGGTGGTAACGTGTGAGTGTCATGGTTACCGGGGGTGGTAACATCTCCCCTTCCCCTCCAACCCCCTGAAAGCCAACCGTGGTATGTTGTTGGCAGTAACTTTGACTGAGAGAAGATGTTGATATTTAGAAACAACAAGACACACTCACCTCAGTGAAATATTTTTCGAATTCGGTCTTCTCCACCGTGCCATCATCTGAAAAAGATTCAGTTGGTTTCAGATTGGATACATAAAACACCTACCCATTTTTCGTTTTGTTTGTTTGTTGTTTAACGCCGCACTCAGCAATATTCCAGCTAGATGACGTCGGTCTGTAATTATCGAGTCTGGACCAGATAATCCAGTGATTGATATCAAGAGCATCGATCCACGCAATTGTGATACGATCAACCAAGACAGCGAGCCTGACCACCCGATCCCGACAGTCGCCTCTTACGACAAGCATAGTCGCCTTTTACGGCAAGCAATGGTTGCTGAAGACCTATTCTACTCTGGGTCTTTCAGAACATATCCGCCAAATTTACCTATCACATTCAAAACCTGCTTACAGGGAGCGCCAAACCTGTCAGAACACATTTTGAAATGAGTGCTCATTTGTTTTGTGTTACCCCAATCTGGATTATTCCAGCTAAATCACAGCGGCTTGTAAATAGTCGTGTCTGGATCAGACACACCACTAGTCTAGTCGATACCATGAGCAACATCCAACGCCGTGAGGGTACGATGACACACAACAACCAAATCATCGAACCTGTCCGCCGATCCAGTTACGCTGCACTAGAGTGCTGTGTACCTATTTTCACGTGGGTACCCACGAGGCAGGTCGTAGATGCCTACCACTTTGGTGAAAACTTTAAACAATCAATCATTATAGAGGCAAATCGGGGATTGTGGCACAACTAAGGGACGCAACTCTGCATACCAAATTGCGGCCCCTTCCCAAAACATTCCATCTCTGTCCCTTCAAAGATTTAAGTTTCCAATCAGAACACATTCTGATCGAGCAATACGAGTTTTACGTACCATTTTGGTCAATCTTCCTGAAGTAAAGGTCAAGGTCAGAGTCAGTTATTCCTCCGTTTCGGTCCATGTCAAGTTCCAAGAAGAGTCCCTTGGCGATTATGGCCAGGTTGGCCTGGTTTCCGGTGAATTTATCCACGAACTCTTTCTGAGTTACTGTCGTGTCGTCTGTAAGGATAATTATCTTTCGTTAAAGACAAAATAAACTCTTTATCATATTTTGACTGGGACAACGACGTTTTGTTCGTTCGTACGCTGGTTGTTTAACGCCCCACTCAACAATATTCCAGCTATATGACAGCGGTTTGGAAAAATTCGAGTCTGGACCTGACAATCTAGTGATTGACATCACAACAGATATTATCACTTACATTGTAGTCAAATACTTAACAGTCAACAAGGTAGATTGAAACATATTTAACAGCCTAGGCGTTTAAACCATTTTAGGAAACCTTGTGAGGACTTTTATCACCCAGAGTATTTCAGTTATATCACGGCGTGTGGAAGGAAAGGGCGTAGTGGTTTATTACTGTGATGAAACGCATGAGCACGGGTATGGTGCTGACAAACCTAAAGTGAGTGAGTGAGTATGGTTTTACGCCGCTTTTAGCAAATTTCCAGCAATATCACGGCGTGGGACACCAGAAATGGACTTCACACATTGTAGCCATGTCGGGATTTGAACCCGGGTCTTCGGCGTGACGAGCGAACGCTTTAACCACAAGGCTACCCGACCGCCCCGACAAACCTAAAGTCAATCATATGTTTCAGGCAGGCCTGAGGCAAGCAGCTCTGCGCGGCGGATTAGGCGACTGCGGCACCGTGACCTTCACCCCCGATACCGGGTCGACCGCGTACGTTGTTCAATATGTCTGTGTAGATGCCCTAAACCAATGCAAAGTTATTATGCCTTGCTTTGTGTAGAGGTCACGTTTTGAAGGTTGATGAGGTCAACCATCCTGTTTATCTCCAGAGCTTGCATTTCAGCAAACCTACACAAACCCCTGGGCCCATCACCGTGGTTCCCGCGATCTCAAAGTACCCGCCCTTGATCCAGGGGTTTACCGAAATGTGAGACCTGGAGATATAGAGGGTGAAGGTCAACAGCTGTAGGCTTACTGTTGGCATCGTATTCGGCGAAGATCGGCGTCATGTCGGCCTTGTCGAAAGATCCGTCCCCATTAGAGTCAGCAGTTTTGAAAAGTTTTTCAACTTGAGCTTTGACGGTGGCCTTGAACGTGGCAAGGGCTGCGTGAGTGCTGGGAGTGGTGGCGCTGGTGAAAACAACGTAATGATGTCTGACATTGTTAACATGAGAGTGGTTGAATGTTGTTACACGCCGCCGCCAGGTGTATCGCCGCACGGTTTATCGACAAGGAAATTGTATTACATGATATAGTGATTGATCCGCGTCGTCGGGTTGTGACAACACAGTCGGCCACGTCCACACCTGAAAGCCATTTCCGTCGGCTCTGTCAACAGACTCTTCTTCACACGTAAGTAGATGTGGTTTGCATTGTCTGCGTTTGATTACAAATTCTAGCTGTACTTTGGGGCCGACCATTTCAGGGGCTGGGATTTTATCGAAAAAAATTAATTGTCCCAGAAAATTCTTGAAAAAGATAATTATGCTTCAGAGTGTTGAAAACAAGAATTAAACTACAATGTTGCAAGGTGTGTTTCTAGAAAAAATATCCAGGCTCATAGGTTAAATATATTTATATATAGTTTAAAATATATATACTATCTTTGAACGTCTTTTAGTATGAAGCGCCCAGGGTATCGAATACCGACCTTCCGCTCTTCTGGCAGACGCTCTATCCGGGGGTCAACTTGACTAATTTTAACTGTAAGCAAAACTAAATTTACGGGGGCGCCTATATGGATTTGGGGGCATGCTCCCCAAGAAATGAAAAAAATATGAGATGCTCTTAAACGCTATAGACAATAAATATCATGTTCGACCGTGTAGAGTTTGAATTAATGATTTACTGCATAGAGGAAACAGACCTTATTTAAGACCCTTAATGCCGAGCGCCAGGCAGTGTAACAACAAATACCATCTTGTAACGTCATTTGGCATGACGCGGCCGGGAATCGAACACCGGACCTTCCGCTCCGAGGAGACGCTCTACCACTAGACCAGAGTGGCGATCTCAAAGCTTTAGAATATTAGTTACATGGTTCTGTGAGAGATTGCCCAAACTCAACGTTATTTACACCAAACACGATAGATAACCGCAATTCAAAAATGCCATACTTTGACTCGTTATAAGTCATATTTGTCATCAAAGTCATCTTGACTATCACATGTCAACATAATGTTTCGCGATCGAAATAGGTAAAACAGCGGGAAAACCTCAACGACGACTTGTCAGACTGTTAAATACGTAAGAATTATACTGCAATATCAGCTTGAATATCATTGTGACCAACTCGTGTTAATCCGGGACAAGCCGTCTTGCAGGTTACGGAAAGGGGCGAGTGGTGACGAATGGACCAACTCATGTAATCTTGCCATTCGTGACCAACTCGTGATATTCCGGAACAAGCCGAAGAGAGGGACAAGTCTTCTTGCAGGTTTCGGGAAGGGTCGAGTGGTGACGTATGGTCATCTTTACGGAAAGGGGCGAGTTGAGACGAACGCAGAAATACGGTACCCCCGGACCTACATTCAATATTAGGAATAGCGCTGAGCCACTGCATAAAGTAACCAGTTCAAATCAACGTTATCGGAAGAATAAAAACCGAACGATTGTCTGAATGAGTATTGTAGTGTAAAGAAAGGGCGTCTCATTGGTCGTGATGAAATTGTGCCATGTCAGTCAACGAAGTGGTGGCGCAGGTTTGTTTGTCTGCTTGTTGTTTAACGCCACACTCAGCAAAATTCCAGCTATATAGAGCGGTCTTCAAATAATCGACAATCCAGTGATTGACATCATGCACATCGATTTACACAAATGGAATATGATGTCATGCATCAACCAAGTCAGGAGCCTGATCACCCGATCCCGTTACTCGCCTCTTACGGCAAGCACGGGACTGGTGGCGCAGGTAAGAAAACTGCTGTGTGCATTGCGCATGACGCATAACTTTCTCAATCACTGGTGGCCATTCCAGTGAGAAAATGGGCGATTTGAAGTGAAATTAGTGAAAAAATAAAATATTACAAATGAAAGATTTACGTACAGCATTAATCTTTTGATCGTTGAATCTGCGTACCAAGTACGATTTTGTTTCCCGCGTACCGCACTGCCGAGTCCCGAATACCCTCTAAATAGACCCCCGAATCCCGTGTACACAAAGAAAGCCACATAACCGCCAGGAAGTCGTGTTGTATTCTATTTTTTTCAACATTGAAGCACCGTGACGTCATATGGTTGACCAATCATCATTAAGAATCGCTAACATGCATTTATGCAAATATCGTAAGGTTATAACTCACGATCAGTCTACCCATATAGGTAATTTATATGTAGCCACATCCTCAATAAATAAATCTGTTTTTGTACATGACCATGTTATGACCTCTAATTTATTGCAGCTGATATATTCTCACTCAGAGGGGACATACATTTTATATCAAACAGAACTGGGATTGTTATCTAACCTTGAGCCTGAAATAGTTAGTTATGACGGCATGGTTGGAACTAGCTCAAACTGTCGACACTCACCTAGCTGCAAAAGCAGCGGCAACAAAGGCAGCCAGGACAATAAGTACTTTCATGATGAACCTGGAAAATGATAAAATCAATGTAGTGCAACAGTATCATTATTTAACGCGCATATTGTGGGTGACGTCTCAGAGAATAAACTACGAGGACTTACATATTATTTGACATAAGTGAATATATTATATAAGCCATTTAGACGTTTAACACAAACTCATGCGAACGGAAATTCTGCGAAATGAAGAAAAAATGGGTTTTCTGATCCAGGTGGTGGTGAGTGAGTGAGTTGGGTTTAACTCCGCTTTAAACGGTTTTCCAGTTACATCACGGCGTGACAGTTTAATGTAGGAGTAAAACCCGAAGTGATGCAGGTCTCATACGGTTACCACTTCGGTGAAACCCACGAGCACAGGTATGGTGCTGACAAACCTAGAAACATAATCGGGGCGAACCGTGATTCGAACCCACAATCATTGGTTTCTGGCGTGCCGAAGGGACGTAACTCTGCACAGCGAATCGCGGCGCCTAAGACAACTGGGCCACCCGTGCCCCCAACCAATATTAAATAGAAGAGCATAATTTATGATTCCCCTGATGAATGGGCAAGCAGTTACCCCGAAACGTCGTTACAAACAATACAGAAGTTGGTCACCAGGTCTTCATGTTCTTCCAACTTCTAAATGCCTCTCAAAGACTTGAGCATATTTGTCGTTTTTCAGGGTAGTTCCATTGTTATAATTAGTATTGCGCCAATTTGCATTCATCAGGTAAATGCTCATGGTGCTACAATTTATTACCCCAGTGTGGATCAGTGTACACTCGATTTTCATACTCGCCCTGATTATGTTTCTAGGTTTGTCAGCACCAAACCCGTGCTCGTGGGTTTCACCGAAGTGGTAAACGTCAGAGACCTGCATCACTTCGGGCTTTCCTCCCATATTAAGCTGACATGCCACGATATAACTATAATACTGTTAAAAGCTCACTCAAACTCACTCACTCACTCACTCACTCACTCGATTTTTACACTCAGTTCCCTGGGGAGTATATAACCCAAGCTGCATGTGAGGCACGGAGGCCTATTATGTTAAGGTTACGTGCCTAGATGCGAGAAATCCTATGTTAGCCGTATCAATGATCTTTGGTCTGTCATCAGTTCTACATTATACGTATCTCGAGGGGTGTATGATGTGATGTACACTGGGTATGAGCCTATGTACCCCGAGGCGCCAGGGGAGGGATGCATAGGCTCACACACAGGGTATCGGTTGACAACGAATTTATCTCACAGACATTCATCCATACAGACCTGGAATATTTGTAAAACGCTTTGATTCAACCATTTTGGACGCTGGCAAACGCATGCGAACCGAGTTACTTCCCTTTATCCAATGCATTCGGATAAACATCGGTTAATTTCGGTTCAACAATACTTATGCGAGATAAGCAAGTTACCTAAGATGTGTTCCGATTGATGTCACAGTGGAGTACATGAGCGGGCTACATGGAAAATAATTGCCCGCTCCATAACCAATCAGAAGCTAGTATTTTAATGTAAGGGGAGATAAATGTACTTGTCACCCACTGTAAACCACCAATTCTACATCACTGCACCACATAACTGAAACACTGTACAAAACGCCGAAAACCACATCCTATTCCCTCACCAATCCATCCATTGTAGCGCCACCAGTGGTTATAACGAGTTATGTCCCTTCTATGTCTCTCATTGACCCATCGGGGCGGTCGGGTAGCCTAGTGGTTAAAGCGTTCGCTCGTCACGCCGAATACCCGGGTTCGAATCCCGACATGGGTTCAATGTGTGAAGCCCATTTCTGGTGTCCCCCCCGCCGTGATATTGCTGGAATATTGCTAAAAGTGGCGTAAAACCATACTCACTCACTCACTCACTCCTTGACCAATCAGTTTCCGACTCTCATATCACTTGCATTGCTTCAAACAAAATGGCGGCGCCAAGTCAAGATGATTTGAACGATAATCAAGATAAAAATTGTAACAAAACGGGTCTTACCTCGCGAAGTGCATCAAATTACATGAGCAACTCGATTAAAAACATGAACAAATTTGGAAAGTATCTGTCGACGCCCAGTTGGCGGAAATCTGCACGTTGATAGTTTGTTTCGTTAGGCGTATTTGATTGGACTATTCATAGACTCGTTAGTCCAGCAAAAAATTTCTGCCTAGTTCGGCAAGGGTTGAAAGTGGACTTGTATAGTCAGTTAACTCCCTTGCCTAGGGAAGGGATCAATCCATCAATTAATTATAAACCCATAGAGACAACACATCAGTTTTATGGCAATAATTGCAATGTGTGTATGTTATCTTTAATTTGGCACCAGATCGAGGCGCATAACTCTCCATTTAAAAGACTTAAAACTCCAAGCACTCACTCACACAGTTAACTGATTATTAGGAATAGCCCGCATCATAGTAAACTGCAGGGCAAAAGAAAGTATACATTTGAAAATTGGATTTGACCAAAACATTAACAACGTTTTAAAACGTTACTATGCTGACCTGCTGTGAGACAACCATCGATATGATGCATTTTAAATCGACTGTGATACCTGTGTCAAATACATCACCGTCGAATAACCATTTTCTTTGTTTCGATTTCAGCCACCTTCAAGGGTGTATAGCTTTTTTTGTCCGACGGTTTAGTTGTCTACAATTAATAGAAGTGTTCTTTAACGACACTCAACGTAGCTCAACATAAGAACGGATAAGCCTTTACATTTAATCCGAAGCAGAGTGAGTGAGTGAGTATGGTTTTAAGCCGCTTTTAGCCATATTCCAGCAATATCACGGCGGGGGACACCAGAAATGAGCTTTACACATTGTACCCATGTCGGGAATCGAACCCGGGTCTTCGGCGTGACGAGCGAACGCTTTAACCACTAGGCTACCCGACCGCCCCCCGAAGCAGAGACAATATACATAACTGCATGTATACAATGTTGCGGCGGAAACTAACATGTTAAGCCTTCTAGTCCTTGTAACGATAACATACAGTAACAACTTTAATAATTTTACTAGTTCTTTTTACTAGTTCTTATACCTTAACTATTGGGGGGGCGGTCGTCACGCCGAAGACCCGGGTTCGATTCCCGACATGGGTACAATGTGTGAAGCCCATTTCTGGTGTCCCCCGACGTGATATTGCTGGAATATTGCTAAAAGCGGCGTAAAAAACCATACTCACCTTAACTATTGTCCAGTTTGGCAAGGACTACGGGACTAGTGGCGTTTTCTAACGGTGCAGTATCTGTACATAGTCTCTGGTTGGTATGCCCTATACATGTGTCGGTATATGCACGTCTGTGAAGCGTTGGCTTACCTAGGAGTGTCGATGTCAGACTGGGAAGAACTGGTAACTTTGCAGGTGCTATATAGATAGAAGGTGCACGTGACATGAGTATGACATCATAAAAAGAATGTGCTGACAGGGATTGTCATGACCGGAGTACCAGGTGCAGAGACGTCGGTTACCATGCCACACGTGGGGTGTGCACGTCTGACGTAATCAGCAACCGAACACTTGCACTTCCATTCCGGACAAATCGGCTGATTCCGCTACGTACATACCACCTCAGAGAGAGAACTTGCACTTCCATTCGGGACAACTCGGCTGATTCCGCTACGTACATACCACCTCAGAGAGAGAACTTGCACTTCCATTCGGGACAACTCGGCTGATTCCGCTACCTACATACCACCTCAGAGAGAGAGAGAGAGAGAGAGAGAGAGAGAGAGAGAGAGAGAGAGAGAGAGAGAGAGTATTGCTTAACGCTTCATCAGTCCCATTCCAGCTCTATTGTCGACAAGCATGCGCGTAATAGTCAACTTTTCGTTTCGGGCGCTATCTAGGGACATTTATAATGTAAGCATATTTGTTGTATTTTTGCTTTCACTTATAACGCTAATCGGGGCGGTCGGGTAGGCGAGTGGTTAAAACGTTCGCTCGTCACGCCGAAGACCCGGGTTCAATTCCCGACATGGCTACAATGTGTGAAGCCCATTTTTGGTGTCCCCCGCCGTGATATTGCTGGAATATGGCTAATAGGCGTAAAACCATACTCACTCACCATAACGCGACAAAATCATTTGCATAATATCAAGAAATCTACTTTAAGCGGACTCCAATGTAGGATTCCGACGATATTATTGTGATCAAACCAAGATATCCTCAAAAACTAATGCAAGAAACAAACACATCAAATTCGAACCAACTCATCAACAGCAACTGTCACACTGGTCGCCGGGCCAACCTGTAAAGTTACCAAATATCATTAATATCTCCTTTTCCCCAGTCACGAGATGATAGAAATATATGATATTTGACTCGACTCATGGAATATCCTATTATTTATGTACTTTTTGTGGAGTTGGCTACCGGAAAGTTTAATTATTTCATTACAAAAATATGAAACCCTTGAAACGTAGATTCTCCCAACCTAACACGCAGGGACGGTTCACCACCCGTGTCACGATTTGCGACTTTAAAAAGTGGTTCCGTGTTTGCAATATCTTACAAAATATCAACAAAAGTATCCAAAAATATTTAGGGTCACGAAGTTTACATATGATTATATATAAATAAAAATATTCTTGAAAACTACGAGACCGCTGTTGGAAGAGAAAGAGCACACGCTGATCAAGTAACAAAAATGGCGCTTTGCGAAACGGCTCTAGTATGACACTGCAATGAAAATATCACTTTCCTCAACTTCAGAAAACTCAGTCTTTCACACTGCAGTATATAATAAATAATTCTGACCATCAGCCTTACAGTACTATCGTCCGAGGGTGACAGAATTCGCTGAAACCTACGATCATAGGTTCGGATTCTTGATTCACTCTGAACTAACTGCAATTCTGTTCAAAGCGGCGCCTCACTATTCCAAACTCACCCACTCGCCCCCAGTCCTTGCATATCTAAAAGTATTTTGTTACATGACCTTTAATGTAAGCATCAAATTCACATGCATAACAATGCCCCTTCGATTTGAGATGCGGGGTTAGAATAGACCGCCGGAAACCTATGCCTGTGGATTGTGTGCTCATGATATCAACCGTTGATTTGTCTGGACAATACTCGATTATTTACCGATCGTCGTAGTTTACCCGCACAAACAAACAAACAAACAAACAAACAAGGATCCTGCCTGGTACATTGTCGTGCCTACTGATGTAGAGAGAACACATCTTCAATTTCTGGTTTTATGGGTCTGATTTCGTGATGTGCAAAGGCCACTATAAGGGATTTGAAATGTTCGATCACCACGTTACGTCCTTCAGATGTATGCTTTGGTCAGCCTATGATTTATTTAACCAATAAATCATCCCAGGATGTTTGATCAATTGGGTCGGTTAATGTGATGTTTTGTTAACAGTATTTACAGACAGCATGGTATCCCCATGTGCATTCATCGTTACAGTATCAGCTCATCAACGTATGATTTCGCACTGGGCCACTAAATGGATCGCATTATTAGGAAGGTCACGTACTTAGAGATGCAGATTAGGGACAAACTCCAGAATGCCCATATCAAGGAAAAACTTGAGGCAGAGTACAAAGGTAGGCTTAAGAAAGTCTGGAGTTCAGAGCTGAACGCTCGCAATGAAGTTAAAGTCACAAATATATGCTGTACCCGTCCTTTCAAATTCTTTTGGTTTTGTTGATTGGACGAAACAAGAAATTCAGGGTATTGACACCCTCACACGAAGAATCATGTCAGACAATAGATCCCACCACCCTCGCTCTTCCCTCAATCGCTTCTATTTACCAATCATTAAGGAAGGACGTGGTTTGATTAACGTTGGGGCTCGTCATGATAGAATTGGTTTTGTGCACTTTTGCACACATAAATTTGTCTGATGATCCTCTTGTGAAGCATTTCAAAACTCATGATAAAATAAAGGCATTCCACAATTTTCTTAAACGAGCCAAGGCTGTGGGACATAATCTCAATGTCAGTATTGATGTTTTTGATGGTTCTGTACTGCTGGACGGTACAGAAATGAGTGTCAACCAGGTGAAGTGCCATATCAAATCGACTCAGTTTTTCAAGGAGAGGCTATCTGAACGACCACTGCATCGAATTTCTGTGCAGTGTGTTGAGAAGATCAGCAACCCTACAGAGTCCTTCGCTTGGATGAGGTCGGCTGGCCTGAAAAGTGAAACAGAAGGCTTTCTGTTTGCTGCTCAGGAGCAGTCACTTCCCACTCGAAACCGTCAATGTGTGATTTTGCATCAAAATGTAAATATGAAATGTAGATTATGTAATGAATTTAATGAGACTGTCCAACACATTGTCAGTGGATGCCAAGCTTTGGCACAAACACAGTATCTTAAACGACATGATGGTGTAGCTCGATCATTTTATTACCGTCTTCGCCATGCTTGTGGTTTTGACACAGAGGTCCATCCAAGGTACGACCCGGAATATGAAGAGGGCGTCATGGAAAATCATAAATTCAAAATTCTTTGGAATAGGCCCGTATACAGCCTCGGACGTATCCAGTCCAACAAACCTGATCCTTTTTGATAAATCCAATGAAATCATTTATATTGTCAACGCGCATGTGTTGACGGGGAATTAGCTCTTGGGGGAAAGAAGGACAAAATCGCCATCACTGTCCCGGAACGCTTTTTGCACAACATGTAAACAATAAACAATAATTGCAGAATGAGCGGACCTTCCAGCTCAGGCGTACAAGAGGTGAGCGGAGCTCCAGCTCACCTCAGGGCGTTTCCTACGAGCGGCACATCCTGCTCGAGGTCGTCCCTATGCCAGCACTCGGAATACCAAGCCTGACTAACACCCAAGTTACAGTGTAATGGTAGCCCATATATAGTAATGAACAACAAAGACAATGATATTGCTCTGGACATGGGACTTCTGGGTGTGACACAGCTTAGGGGATGAACAATTAAGGCAATAAATGTCATATTATAAATAACAGTAATGAACGGGAAGTGATATAGCAGCCAAGGTTGGCTGTCAGTCACTATACAATGAAATGTTGGTGAGGATTAACAACGGGGATTAGCGCCCAAAACGTAATGACAATTAAGTTATGGAGACAGGGTAATTTGCCCTTGGAGTCAAATGTACTGCAGACAATGGTAGTCATAAATCAGTCGCTATGACAATATTATTGAAGTTTTTGTCCCTTTTGACACCAATGTTATTGACAAGATTGAGGAAAATCATGGCAAATATGCGGACCCCGCTTTCGAAATGTCACGCTTGCATCCCAAGTACCAAGTTGGTCGACTCCCCATTGTTCTCGGTGCCTTAGGTTTGGTATCTCCCAATCTGTTGACTGACATTGGGAAAGTACCCGGGTTTGGTACCAGGAATACAGCCCTTCTGACAATCTGGCTAATGCAGAAAGCTGCAGTGTTGGGGAGTCTTCACATTCTCCCTATTGTTCTGGGTAGGTTTGACTAGGCAGAGCTTCCTGGGAGAAGTCCCATTCGCTGTCTTGGCTGCGTGTAGAGGGGGCAAGGGCCCTGAGCTGATTATGAGCCTAGCCAGACTGTGCCAGGATCACCAAAACCCTCTTTACTGCATTTAAAAACATATTAATCCGTAAATAATAATAACAATAATGCCATGTATATGGTATCACACTTCCTGACCCCGAAAGATGTAAAACACACAAAATATATTATAATATATAGTAAGTGAGTGAGTGAGTGAGTTGGGTTCAGATCTCAGACGTTTACCACTTCGGTGAAACCCACGAGCACGGGTATGGTGCTGACAAACCTAGAAACATAATCGGGGCGAACCGGGATTCGAACCCACAATCATAGGTTTTTGGCGTACCCAAGGGAAGCAACTCTGCACAGTGAATCGCGGCGCCTTAGACGACATGGCCACCCGTGCCCTCTATAATACATAGAATCACGAGAGAAATACTTGAATGAATAGTCAATTGTAACGTTCAAAGAGGTGTGTCTGACCGGAAAGATAATTTGAGTAGTATCCTTTGACGTTTGTTCTTCTGTTTTGCAATGCAACCTAAATTTTGAGAATATACCCCTCAAAACCGGCTGAATAACATCCACAATCGAAGGTTGTGTGTTGCAATACCCACAGCCACGAAAGAATAACTATTGCCATTTGAAACTTATTTTCATTTTAGGGTATAAACCACAGTGGTTAAGTGCTGACCATGCCAAACCGGGTGTTGGTTGGCAGCAACAACCATTTTCTCGCTGGACAGTAAAAAACTATTGTTTCACTGAGCACATGGAGCATGATTTAGTCAAGTTTTTAGCCCTTTTACTTAATGATTTGAACTAAATCTAACTTAAATCACGCACCAGATTCCAGACCACAATCGTTATTGTAGTTCTATACGACACTCAATATTAAGTTCAAAATTGTTCACTTGTTTCATCTGGAGCGACAGGGACAAGTCGAAAACATGGTGCTTTTCAGCGTTAAAACGACACAATCTTCAAACCAGCGTACTTTTGTGTCAGTTGTAGCTTTATTGGGCTATTTTAGGATTTGTATCAATGTATTGCCTTTCTGTAATGTATGTATTCCGAGATATTTAACAAAACAATAACTGAACGAGTTGATGGCAGTTGGTTTGACACTGTCTAGGCTGTTGACTGTCGAGATATTTTTTTTCGAAAGACAGACAAATAACCTGAGAGCGAAGAATTCACGACCTTACTGAACGTTTTTTCCCATGACCAATTGGGTATTCACAATTGCGATTACACCGAGATTTGACTTTCCAGGCCTCAAAGTATTCAACTTTATTATGAACTCGTGTAGATATACATGGCATCAAAAGACACACGGGTGATATTCTCTATTTCTGCTCGGAACATCCCTTGAAGGAAGCATTATTGCATTCTTAGTCTAACATATCTATATTTTGTGGTCGCTACTGCACCTTGGTCATACAGAAATATGCTTGTACGTTGAGTTGACACGTGGCCATTGTACCATGTGGAGGAATGTAACGTTCGCATCCTGAACATTCATCCTGACACAGTCTGGGTACTTTTATGTAGTTTTATAGCTATAGGCACGGACTAGATCATGTATATGTCATGTATTTTATAATTCGAACCGACATGTTGGTGATCTGTGAAGATCCGAGTTGGAAGAGGTCTTCAGCAACCCATGCTTGCCGTAGAATGGCGACTATGCTTGTCGTAAGAGGCGACTAACGGGATCGGTTGGTCAGGCTCGCTGACTTGGTTGATGCATGTCATCACATCCCAATTGCGTAGGTAGATGCTCATGATATCAATCATATGATTGTCTGGTCCAGACTCGATTATTTACAGACCGCCGTCATAGCTGGAATATTGCTGAGTGCGACGTTAACAACAACAAACAAACAAATAATATGTTGGTGTTGATGCTGTCCTTGTGCAGCCCTTATATTCATTTCGTCATTTGCCTTCTATACCATTGCAGAGCAACCATACCCACGTGACATACCAGCCAGTGGTAATTAAGAACATGTTTGTATTTTTAGCACAATTCGAAACATGTTTCGGCCACTGAACTCGTGATTCTGTTAGAAGTTAGAAAACGACAGGGGAAGACGGAGGCGTTCATCGTTTATTTTGATCCTGGATAATGCTACAGATAGCGACGTGGTTACACTGCTGTGGTAACACCCTGGGCAGCTTTAGCCTGGAGAATGTACAGGATTGTGAAGAGCTGAAATATAGACGAATGTCGCTTATAAACTCAACACCATGTGAACACAACACGCCGCCACAAAATAATTCAATCCAAAGGATTGCGCCGTTTTTAGCAATATTCCAGCAATATCACGGCAAGGTACGTAATCTGTGTATTCAGGCTGTTTGTTGACAAGGATGGATTGCATGTTAAATTTTTTTTTTCAACTGTAGTATCGGATGCATTTGGACAAAAAATGATGGACCGAACTGGATATACGAATTCCCCCATCTGTCCATTCGTCTGTCTATCCATTCCTCTGTCGTCTATCCATTCGTCTGTCTATCCATTCCCCCATCTATCCGTTCCTCTGTCTATCCATTCCCCCATCTATCCATTCCTCTGTCTATCCATCCGACAGTTTCTAGATTCAAAACGCATGTTCGGTACACATACAATGTGATTCTGTGATTCTGTGATTATACTACATGCACCACCTACCTACTACCCACCACGAGTGAGTGAGTGAGTGAGTATGGTTTTACGCCGCTTTAGCAATATTCCAGCAATGTCACGGCGGGGGACACCAGGAATGGGCTTCACACATTGTACCCATGTCGGGACATCCACATTGGTAATACTTCAGAGGCTTTGAACACACTAAACATTACAATGCTTCTACATACTGCTATTTTTAACTAACGAATCACGTCACGATCTGCTTCTAGCATGAGGCACACGGGCGACTGCTCTGACCACTCGTGACGAGGTGAGCAACACGGGGCACAAAACAGACACTCGTCATCACTACGCCGTACGAACGCATGTATTCACGGGTCAAAGAGTTGGTTGGTTGGTTGGTTGGTTTGTTGTTTAACGCCGCACTCAGCAATATTCCAGCTATATGACGGCGGTCTGTAAATAATCGAGTCTGGACCAGACAATCCAGTGATTAATATCATGAGCATCGATCCACGCAATTGGGATCGATGACATGCATCAACCAAGTCAGCGAGCCTGACCACCCGATCCCGTTAGTCGCCTTTTACGACAAGCATAGTCACCTTTTACGGCAAGCATGGGTTGCTGAAGACCTTTTCTACCCCGGAATCTTCACGGGTCCGGGTCAAAGAGAAACATTGTGGATACACATCCGTGAAATATTGGCGCTGGGATGCAGACACTGAATTCTGTTTGATCAGTACATGTCCTGACATAGCCGACGTGTTTATATTTACAACTCATGTTTTATATAACATACAACGTGTATCTATATGAGGCGCCGTTTGACTATTTATTCCCTATTTTATGATATTAATATTTCATTTACTCAGATGTCAATTAAAACATTTAGAAACCCTTAAGAGATATATAAAGTAGATTTTTTTTCAATAATACTAATTGTTATCTAAAAATACATCTGTTTTATTTGTATCTAAAATGGGGAATAAATAGTGAAGCGACGCTTTACATATCTGTTTTTATGGGTCATACCGAATTCTCTACCTACCTGGGTGAAATATTGCTCAAACTCATGCTTACTGACGTTACCATCATCTGAAACAATTGATAGCAGGTGACATAATGGAGCATATTCGTGGAAACACATGTACACACACACACACACACACACACACACACACACACACACACACACACACACACACACACACACACACACACACACACACACACACACACACACACAGAGAATACTTGACAGACACACAGACCTACTCATACCCCAAAATACCCACACATACACCCACCCGCCACCCCATACAAATAAAGACACAGGCACACAGACCACCACCCCACAAACACAGACACCTACACACACACACACACACACACACATATACACACACACACACATACACACGCACGCACGCACACACACACAGTCACACACACACACACACACACATATATATACCACCCCCTTCACACACAGAAACAGAGAAGGAACCTACAACGCATATACATACATTGCCCCACCTCCCGCACACACACACACACACACACACACACACACACACACACACACACACACACACACACACACACACACACACACACACACACACACACACACACACACTACTTGACAGACACACAGACCTACTCATACCCCAAAATACCCACACATACACCCACCCGCCACCCCATACAAATAAAGACACAGGCACACAGCCCCCCCCCCCACCCCCCCCCCCACACACACACACACACACAGACCTACTCAAACCCCAAAATACCCACACATACACCCACCCGCCACCCCATACACACAAAGACACAGGCACACAGACATCCCCCCCCCCCCCCCCCCCCCCACAGACCTACTCATACCCCAAAATACCCACACATACACCCACCCGCCACCCCATACAAATAAAGACACAGGCACACAGACCCCCCCCCCCCCCCCCCCCCCCACACACACACACACAAAGACCTACTCAAACCCCAAAATACCCACACATACACCCACCCGCCACCCCATACACACAAAGACACAGGCACACAGACATCCCCCCACACACACAGACCTACTCATACCCCAAAATACCCACACATACACTCACCCGCCACCCCATACACATAAAGACACAGGCACAGAGACACCCCCCACAAACACAGACACCTATACGCACACACACACACACATATACACACACACACACACATACACACGCACGCACACATACACACACACGCACACACACACACACACACACATATATATACCACCCCCTTCACACACAGAAACAGAGAAGGAACCTACAACGCATATACATACATTGCCCCACCTCCCGCACACACACACACACACACACACACACACACACACACACACACACACACACACACACACACACACACACACACACACACACACACACACACACAGTTGATTGTATCTCACTGAACAACTTCTGATCCAAACTTGCTTCACAGATATGACCGATTAGCAATATTAATATATTCCTGGAAGTAGAAAGAATCGTATTGGGTGTTTTTTAAATTTCATGTGGAACAAAAATTAATGATGATTTGAGAAGAGACTTTCTCCTTCTCGACGAGTCTTTTAACTCATTTCATTTCAACACGTGGGCAAGAAACCCTTTGAAGAAACTATTTTGCGATCAACCGTGTTTTGGTTAACTTATTCATATCTTAACAACCGACCCTATAAGCCAGAACCATGACAATTCCGTTTTAAAGTTCCAATAATGTAAGGAAGTGTTTTCCGAAACCGGAAGTGATATACTAGTAATCCATGGTAGAAGTGCTAATATCTATTTTATCAACTAAAATAGAACCAGGCGAATTTAAGATTTAGGGGTTTAGTGCAGTCAGAAAGTATTTCTGAAACCGGAGTTAGACAATTCAAACACTAACAGCTCTGCTGCAAACCGAGCTACAACCATAGACGTTTCAGGTTCATACTAAGGACATCAGGTCTTTGAAAGACATTTAGAAGTGATACACACAAGGAAGAGATTATGTGGAGGTCAGCTTCTTTATTCTGAGGAATACACAGGAATGAGTGTTCCTCATAATAAAGAAGTTGCCATTCATATATTCTCTTCCTTACTAAAAACATGTTTTCCAAACCGCAAATGACATAATAAAAACAAGAATTACTAATAATTTTGTGATAAACTAAGCTAGACTTATGAAAAAGAATAAGAAGCCTGATTTTTCGTACCGTTCTGGTCTATCTTCTTGAAGTAAAGGTTGATGTCGGACGCGGTGATGGCCTTGCTCTTGTCCATGTCCAGCTCCAGGAAGAGGCCTTTGCCGATGACAGAGAGGCCGCCCTGGCTCCCAGAGAAGCGGGTCTGGAATTCTTGTTCACTAACTGAGCCGTCCTCTACAAGTCAGAAAACTTTTATAAAACGGTAATCATGGTTACAGATGATGTGGTTGTTACAGCTAAGATAGTTGCCACAGATCAGACACTAACTTCTGAGAAAGTTGCCTCAACGGAGATAGTTGCCATGGTTGAGGTGGTTGCCCTTACGGAGATATTTGCCATGGTTGAGGAGTTTGCCCTAACGGAGATATTTGCCATGGTTGAGGTGGTTGTCCTAACGGAGATAGTTGCCATGGTTGAGGTGGTTGCCCTTACGGAGATATTTGCCATGGTTGAGGAGTTTGCCCTAACGGAGATATTTGCCATGGTTGAGGTGGTTGTCCTAACGGAGATAGTTGCCATGGTTGAGGTGGTTGCCCTTACGGAGATATTTGCCATGGTTGAGGAGGTTGCCCTAACGGAGATAGTTGCCACGGTTGAGGAATTTGTCCTAACGGAGATAGTTGCCATGGCTGAGAAGTTTGCCCTAACGGAGATAGTTGCCGTGGTTGAGGAGGTTGTCCTAACGGAGATAGTTGCCATGACTGAACTATTGAGAGTTGCTGTGCCTGAGATAATATTCATGGCTTCGACAGTTGAAGTAACTAAAATAATGGGTTATACGGTTGTATAACGGCTAGTGCTGACATTATATGAATTTGCTAGTGATGTCAGTACATAGCATATAATGGCTAGTCAATAACATCTGACAAGTACTGTTATAACGTCTAACGAAAAGTTACTGTAATACCGCCTAATGACAAGTACTGTAATAACTCCTTACTGTTGGCATCGTATTCAGTGAAGATGGAGGACATGTCAGCTTGGTCGAATTTTCCGTCCCCGTTGGTGTCGGAGGTTTTGAAAAGGACATCGACCTGGGCTTTGACGGTGGCCTGGAACTTGGCGACGGCAGCGTCAGTTTTGGCATCGCTGGTGTAGACAAGGTGAAGGTGTTTTTTTTCTCCAAAATGTGTACACATGAAGCGAGTTTGGGGACAACTGGGATATATATAGTTCGAGACACAAAATTGTTTTCGTAATTTGTCGAATCCGTTCCCTTTTTCCACACAATGTGTCATTGTGGAAATGTTGCTAAAGTAACTTGATCGCTTACGAAACTATTAATGGAAATAAGCCATTATTTGAAGGAAACGGGAAATGAAAACCTTTCCCCTTGGAATATGAAATACATTGAATGTAATGTACACTGTGAAACCCCGTTGATCCAGATGTAGCGTGAATACTTATTATTTGAATATATGTAAGTGTATCGGCAATAATCGTGCGGAAGATGTGTCTGGATAAACGGGGTCCCGACTCAGAAGGTATACACCATGATAATAACTACTAGTTCTCACCCTGCGGCGAGGGCAGCAGCCAGCAGCGAGGACAGGACCATCAATACCTTCATGGTTGACTGAAACAAGGAATATATAAATAGAGATTATCATACGAACTTGTGTGTCAATCTGATTTTACGAAACGAGTGGAAGAATTCTTGTATTTCCCGAGGGAGATCAATTAATTCAGTTTTCAAAAATCAGTATGTAATCATTTCTTTATTACCCATTATTTTCTCATCCGTTTCATGCTCCCTATTGAAAACCACAGTGTGACAGTTGTCGAATGGCGTTATGACATCTTCATCTATGACGTCGTTTCTGGGGTCATTCATAATATGATTTGAATAACGCCAACAATGCCGCCCGGATGATGTAAGCAATACACTGGTGCGCGGGAAGGGATATTTGCACTAGTGACTTACGAATTTTATGAATTCGGTTATTTTGACCCTATGGGGAATAAAATAAAATACGAGGTTGAGCTTAAAAGGCATGTAAACGATGAAACATATAATGGGATCGGGTGGATCTCTTCAAACAATGTGTAAACGTGCTAGGAACTCTTCAAACAGAGTGTAAACTGTTGGGAACTCTTCAAACAATTTGTTTACAGTAAGGAGCTCTTCAAACAATGTGTAAACGTGTTAGGAACTCTTCACACAAAGTGTAAACTTGTTAGGAACTCTTCGGACAATGTGTAAACTTGTTAGGAACTCTTCGAACAATGTCTAAACGTGTTAGGATCTCTTCAAACAAAGTGTAAACTTGTTAGGATCTCTTCAAACAAAGTGTAAACTTGTTAGGATCTCTTCAAACAATGTGTAAACGAGTTAGGAGCTTTTCACACAAAGTGTTAACTTGTAAGGATCTCTTCAAACAAAGTGTAAACTTGTTAGGAACTCTTCAAACAATGTGTAAACTTGTTAGGATCTCTTCAAACAAAGTGTAAACGTGTTAGGATCTCTTCAAGCAATGTGTAAACTTGTTAGGATCTCTTCAAACAAAGTGTAAACGTGTTAGGATCTCTTCAAGCAATGTGTAAACGTGTTAGGAGCTTTTCACACAAAGTGTAAACTTGTTAGGATCTCTTCAAACAAAGTGTAAACTTGTTAGGATCTCTTCAAACAAAGTGTAAACGTGTTAGGATCTCTTCAAACAAAGTGTAAACGTGTTAGGAACTCTTCAAACAATGTGTAAACGAGTTAGGATCTCTTCAAACAAAGTGTAAAAGTGTTAGGAGCTCTTCACATAAAGTGTCAACTGTTAGGAGCTCTTCACACGAAGTGTAAACTGTTAGGATCTCTTCAAACAATGTGAAAACCTGTAAGGAACTATTCGAACAATATGTAAACAAGTTAGGATCTCTTCAAACAATGTGAAAACTTGTTAGGAACTCTTCGAACAAAGTGTAAACTTGTTAGGAACTCTTCGAACAATGTCTAAACGTGTTAGGATCTCTTCAAACAAAGTGTAAACGTGTTAGGATCTCTTCAAACAAAGTGTAAACGTGTTAGGATCTCTTCAAACAAAGTGTAAACGAGTTAGGAGCTCTTCACACAAAGTGTAAACTTGTTAGGATCTCTTCAAACAAAGTGTAAACTTGTTAGGAACTCTTCGAACAATGTGTAAACGTGTTAGGATCTCTTCAAACAAAGTGTAAACGTGTTAGGATCTCTTCAAACAAAGTGTAAACGTGTTAGGATCTCTTCAAACATTGTGTAAACGAGTTAAGATCTCTTCACACAAAGTGTAAACTTGTTAGGATCTCTTCACATAAAGTGTCAACTGTTAGGATCTCTTCAAACAAAGTGAAAACTTGTTAGGAACTATTCGAACAATATATAAACAAGTTAGGATCTCTTCAAACAATGTGAAAACTTGTTAGGAACTCTTCGAACAATGTGTAAACGAGTTAGGAAATCTTCAAACAAGATGTAAACGTGTTAGGATCTCTTCACACAAAGTGTAAACGTGTTAGGAGCTCTTCAAACAATGTGTAAACGAGTTAGGAGCTCTTCGAACAAAGTGTAAACTTGTTAGGAACTCTTCGAACAATGTCTAAACGTGTTAGGATCTCTTCAAACAAAGTGTAAACGTGTTAGGATCTCTTCAAACAAAGTGTAAACGTGTTAGGATCTCTTCAAACAAAGTGTAAACGAGTTAGGAGCTCTTCACACAAAAGTGTAAACTTGTTAGGATCTCTTCAAACAAAGTGTAAACTTGTTAGGAACTCTTCGAACAATGTGTAAACGTGTTAGGATCTCTTCAAACAAAGTGTAAACGTGTTAGGATCTCTTCAAACAAAGTGTAAACGTGTTAGGATCTCTTCAAACATTGTGTAAACGAGTTAAGATCTCTTCACACAAAGTGTAAACTTGTTAGGATCTCTTCACATAAAGTGTCAACTGTTAGGATCTCTTCAAACAAAGTGAAAACTTGTTAGGAACTATTCGAACAATATATAAACAAGTTAGGATCTCTTCAAACAATGTGAAAACTTGTTAGGAACTCTTCGAACAATGTGTAAACGAGTTAGGAAATCTTCAAACAAGATGTAAACGTGTTAGGATCTCTTCACACAAAGTGTAAACGTGTTAGGAGCTCTTCAAACAATGTGTAAACGAGTTAGGAGCTCTTCGAACAATGTGTAAACGAGTTAGGATCTCTTTAAACAAGATGTAAACGTGTTAGGAGCTCTTCACACAAAGTGTAAACGAGTAAGGATCTCCTCACACAAAGTGTAAACTGTTAGGAGCTTTTCACACAATGTATAAACGTGTTAGGAACTCTTCACACAAAGTGTAAACTGTTAGGAACTCTTCACACAATGTGTAAACTGTTGTGAACTCTTCACACAATGTGTAAACGAGTAAGGAACTCTTCACACAAAGTGTAAACTGTTAGGAACTCTTCACACAAAGTGTAAACTGTTAGGGACTCTTCACACAAAGTGTAAACTGTTAGGAACTCTTCACACAATGTGTAAACGTGTTAGGAACTCTTCACACAAAGTGTAAACTGTTGTGAACTCTTCACAAAAATTGTAAACGAGTTAGGATCTCCTCACACAAAGTGTAAACTGTTATGAGCTTTTCACACAAAGTGTAAACTGTTAGGAACTCTTCACACAATGTGTAAACGAGTTAGGAACTCTTCACACAAAGTGTAAACTGCTGTGAACTCTTCACACAAAGTGTAAACGAGTAAGGATCTCCTCACACAAAGTGTAAACTGTTAGGAGCTTTTCACACAAAGTATAAACTGTTAGGAACTCTTCAAACAAGATGGAAACGTGTAAGGAACTCTTCGAACAATGTGTAAACGAGTTAGGAGCTCTTCGAACAATGTGTAGACGAGTTAGGAGCTCATCGAACAATGTGTAGACGAGTTAGGATCTCTTCAGAAAGGATGTAAACGTGTAAGGAAATCTTCACACAAAGTGTAAACTATTAGGATCTCTTCAAACAAGACGTAAACGTGTTAGGAGCTCTTCAAACAAAGTGTAAACTGTTGGGAACTCTTCCAACAAGGTGTAAACGTGTTAGGAACTCTTCAAACCAGAAGAAAACGTGTTAGGATCTCTTCAAACAAGACGTAAACGTGTAAGGAGCTCTTCAAACAAAGTGTAAACGTGTTAGGAACTCTTGAAACAGGATGTTAATGTGTTAGGAACTCTTCAAACAGGATGTAAACGTGTCAGGAGCTCTTCAAACAAGACGTAAACTTGTTAGGATCTCTTCAAACAATGTGTTAACTGTTACGAACTCTTCAAACAAAGTGTAAACGTGTTAGGACCTCTTCAAACAAGATGCTTTATGAATGCTTGGTGAGGTAAATAATAACCAATACTTATTTCATTATATTACCTCTTTCCATACGGAATTTTATCGCCCATGGACAATTGCTATACATAGGCAGGTCGATCAGTCGTTACTCCCAACTGCTCAGTACATGGGAGGTAATTACACATACCTCTGAACATGAATTCAAAGAATTGTGGTGGATTTTATCACTCATCATGAGTGTTTTTTAACTGCCTTTTCATTTTTTTATTTAGCGCCACATTTAGCAATATTCCAGCTATATGACGTCGCTATGTTAATAATCTGATCTGTATTATGAGCAACGATCCATGACCACGGAGTACGGTGAACGTGACGCAATGAACCAAGTCACCAAGCCGGAGCACCCGTACCATTAAGTCATCTCACCCGTGAAGATTAGGGTTAGAATAGGTCTTCAGCTACCCATGCTTGTCGTCAGAGGCGACTATACATGCTTGTCGTGAGAGGCGACTAACAGGATCGGGTGGTCAGGCTCGCTGACTTGGTTGATACATGTCATCGTGTACCAATTGCGTAGATCGATGCTCATGATGTCAATCACTGGATCGTCTGGTTCAGACTCAATTATTTCAGACCGCCGTCATATAGCTGGAATATTGCTGAGTGTGGCGTTAAACAACAAACAAACAAACATTAAGTAATCTGTTACGACAAGCATACTTTGTACGGCCTTATTCCAACCAGGAATTTACACAAGACTGTAATTTACTAACATCTACTCCTAAATTGTGTATATCACGGTATGTCGTCAGATCAGAAGAGCTGAAAAATTGACCTCACCTTGGAATCGGAACAGAGAAAGTGGGAAGAGCACTGAAGCACCCAGGTGTTAAATAGATAAAGGAGATACAACATGTAGCTCACCTGGATTGCCATATCTAAATAACTTTGAATTATTTCTGATTGTTGGGCAGGAATGGGCAGGACATCTCGCGGTTCGAGTTAAAGTTCATCATTTCTTCATCACGATAAATGAACTATGAGACGAACCATTCTTAACACTGAATATACCTGTCGGGAGTTGGACGTGTCCAAGTAACGAGCGTACACATTTTCTTTCGTTATCTAACATAACCTTAAGTAATTGGAGCCACTGGTACGAAGTCATGTATTGGGTTTCATGTAATTTAAGCGTAGAAATGTAAGCGTAGAAATGCACGTTTACTGCAGTGAGTGAGGTTATTCGACACATTTTGCAATATTCAATGAATTATATACCTGAGGTGACACGATCATACAAAACTTCTCATAATATTCCAGTCACTCTATTCCACCTAAAACGTTCACGTGTATGTTTGTGTATAGTGTTATAAAGTTATTTTTTCTCATCTCATAAATTAATTTGCTTCTACTGAGTGCAAAATCGATTTCACTGGAAGCGATCGTAAAGTCTCAATCATCACTACCAGCCCTTGGTTGGTTGGGGGAGGTCGGAGCTACGAAGGTCTTAGGCGTTTACTACCTTGTTGAAAGCAGACATTGTGCTGAAAAACTAAGAATCAGTATCAGGTCGAATCAAGGATTCGAACCCTAGACCCTGAACGGAAGCAACTGGGTACAGCAATAACTGAGACCGGGCCACCAATGCAGATCTCGGCTCCAGAGAGACAGACAGAAGGGTAACATGTGGTAATAACCATATGCCATGTCCATTATCTGCCTTATGACCCTTCGGGACATCCACACTTGTTTGTTTCTTATCTTTCAAAGGCTTGCGGTAACTGACATCTATCATTGAAAAAGATCTTGAAGCTCACCTGGAAAAGTGGTGTTAAGTGCGTGAATCATTTTCCGATCAAATTTGGCTTTTTTCTACAGCAATTAATTTGCATATTATGACAGAGAAACTAACCTGGTACATAAAACAGTACGACATGTAAAAGCGTCAATAGAATTACCCACCATAAGTATGACACATACAATGAGGAATCACAAGGACCACCCCCATTGGTGGTCAGTAGGACCACCCACCATTTGTATTATTAGAACCAGCGACCATTAGCATCATTAGGATGACCCACAAGTAGTACCACCAGGAACAGCATCATGCCCTAGTTTTAAATTATACCCGAACCACAGCCTGGCTGTCTTGGTGAATGATGATACCCTTACCATGAGCTTATCGCCTGGTGCGTAATTTACCCAAACCATGGCCTGGCTGCCATATCATGATTTTGCCAAACCCAAAGGATTCCTTTTATAAACTCAATGATACGTGTGTTTAAATCTTTAAAGGATGGGAAACGTGATCAGCTAACGCACTAGACCATAATGAATGCGAAAGATGGTGGCCTATCTTCCCGAGGCAAGTGAATTAACTGACTTTAAAAGTCCCACCCTTGACAAACTAGGCTGGGATTATGGAGTTATATTTTGACTGGACTAACGAGTGTAACATATTCCAATCAAAATCGCGTAACGAAATCGACATATGGTTCGTAAACACAGAGACCATATAAAAGAATGGTCGCTGATAAACTGCAGATATTTTGCAAATCTTTTCATGTTTTTAATCAAGGTGCTCACGTGATTTGATGGACTTCGAAGATCCATTATATTTACCAAAAAATAATTTTGATTATCAATCAGATCGTCTTGACTCGCCGCCATTTTGCTTACAACAATGCTAATGATATGAGAGGTGGAATCTGATTGGTCAATAGGAGGGACATAAAGGGGATATATCTCGCAATAGCCACTGGTGGCGTTACGATCGAGCCCAGAAATTCTAACTTCAGTAGAAATTCAGCCACACGAATTCAGTGTAGGTATTCGCGAACCTTTTCATTTTATTGAAAATATAACAAACACACTCAGATTGAGAACTTTGATAGAGATGAAGAATATTTATCTGTGACTTTTGTCACATCCTTTCAGGTTCAGAAGTACACCCATCTCCATCTTGAATATCTTCAGTGCTATCCTGTATTTGCAGCTGTTTAGAAGTACAGGTTGATCTGGAATTACTTAGCAAAAGATCAAACTCAGTAGTGTTGGAGAGGATTATTCAAGTATAAAGGATTCAGTGATTTATACCATATATTGGCGCATAATTACACAATTGGCAATCCTATTGGCTCAGTGAGGTCACCTTCCTGGTTGACTGACTATAAAAGTCCAGTTTCCACCCTTGCTGAACTAGGCTGAACCTTTTTAGTTGAATTTTAGCTGGCTGACGAGTCTATGCTTAGTCCAATCAATACAACGTACCGAGATAGAAATCCGTCTCAAAAGCAACATGGCGGTTGGTCGATTGCAGGATTTGCAAAGCATGTGTACCGACAACTTGGCGGCGGCAGATATTTCAAAATCTGTTCATGTTTTTAAACAAGGTGATCAAGTGCTTTTTATAACAATATAGATCTAGATTATAGTTTGAAGCAAATGCAAGTGGATGGAATCTGACTGGTGAATAGGAGGGACATAGGAGGACCTTATCTCCTAATAGCCACCGTTGACGCTTTGATCGAGCAACGAAATTTCAGCCTCGTTCGGCAAGGATAGAAACTGAACTTATATAGTCAGTTAATGCCTCTCCCAAAGGAAGATGTTATACATACAGACAGACATAGTTAGGAAATGTTAAATACAGATACTCGTAATGAAAGCCGATTTTCTGGCCAAGCTTGGTACTGAGATGACCCAAGCCTGGTATCCTCACGAACAAAGCTAGGGTTTCAATGATGATGACACGTAACTTGTTTATTTTGATTTATACATTCATTAAATTAATGATATAGAAATGAGCATGACAATGGTATTTATGTATTAAATTATTATTGTGAACAGTTTACAGAATGTTACACGTATATTCATATAATCACTGGTTTGTGATACAGACTCGATTAACTAGAATTCGCATTTCATGGCGTATATCAATCTAGCAATCTTGAAGACCTGAGTCGGTGGGTACCCGATATTGGATCATAGTAACACTACTACTACTACTACTACTACTACTACTACTACTACTGCTACTACTACTACTACTTCTACTACTGCTACTACTACTACTACTACTACTACTACTACTACTACTACTACTACTACTACTACTGCTACTAATACTACTACTACTGCTACTACTACTACCGCTACTACTACTACTGCTGCTACTACTACTACTACTACTACTGCTTCTTCTGCTACTGCTACTACTTCTTCTACAACGACAACTACAACTGCTGCTACAACTACTACTGCTATTGTTACTACTACTACTACTGCTACTTTTACTACTGCTGCTGCTACTACTGCTGCTACTACTACTACTACTACTGCTGCTGCTGCTACTACTGCTACTACTTCTACTACTGCTACAACTACAACTGCTGCTACAACTACTACTGCTACTGTTACTACTGCTGCTACTACTTCTACTACGACTACTGCTACTACTGCTACTGCTACTACTACTATTGGTGCTGCTACCACTACAACTGCTACTACTACTACTACTGCTACTACTAATGCTGGCGCTACTACTACTACTGCTACAACTACTATTGGTGCTGCTACCACTACAACTGCTACTACTACTACTACTGCTGCTACAACTTCTACTACTACTGCTACTTTTGCTACTATTACTACAGCTACTACTACTTCTACTACGACTACTGCTACTTCTGCTACTGCTACTACTTCTTCTACAACGACAACTACTTCTTCAACTGCTACTACTACTATTACTACTATTGTTACTACTACTACTACTGCTACTATTACTACTGCTACTACCACTTCTACTACGACAACTACTGCTTCTACTACTACTAATGCTGGCGCTACTACTACTACTACTACTACTGCTACTGCTACTATTGCTGCTACTACTACGCCTACTACGACTACTGCTACTGCTACTACTACTTCTACAACGACAACTACTACTACAACTGCTACTACTACTACTACTACTACTACTATTGCTACTACTACTGCTACTGCTATTACTACTGCTACTACTAATATTGCTACTGCTACTACTACTATTGCTACTACTACTACTACTATTGCTACTACTACTTCTACTGCTATTGCTACTGCTACTACTGCTACTACTACTATTGCTACTGCTACTACTACTATTGCTATTACTACTACTACTACTACTACTACTATTGCTACTACTACTGCTACTGCTATTGCTACTGCTACTACTGCTTCTACTACTATTGCTACTGCTACTACTACTTACTAGGGGGGCACGGGGGCCCAGTCGCCTAATGCGCCGCGATTCGCTGTGCACAGATGCGTCCCTTGGGCACGCCAGAAACCTATGATTGTGGGTTCGAATCCGCTACCATCCCATCCCATACCCGTGCTTGTGGGTTTCATCGAAGTGGTAAACGTCTGAGACCTGCATCACTTCGGGCTTTCCTCCCACATAAAGCTGACACGCCGTGATATAACTGAAATACTGTTAAAAGCGGCGATAAAAACAGCTCACTCTCACTCTCACTCTCACTCACGGCGGCTACTACTACTGCTATTGCTACTGCTACTACTACTACTGTTACTACTACTACTACTACTGCTACTACTACTGCTCTGTTTCTACTACCACAACTGCTACTACTACTACTACTGCTGCTGCTGCTGCTGCTGCTTCTACTTCTACTACTGCTGCTGCTACTACTACTATATGTATGCAAGTATTCGTGAATGATAAAAAGCATATCAAGACGCCGGGATTTCAGCATTACGATAATGTGAAGGAGATATTTTCTTAAACTGCCACTTTTTCTAGACGAATTCCTGACTATATTGTACGAACGCTTCAGTGACTATTGTGAAATATATACACTCTTCAAAGAAAGAAACGCACAGGTAGATTTTAAGTAAATTTATTATACCTGATAAAGTCGATATATTTATTTTAATACCATAGATACAGATAAGAAATTTTGGTGCTCGATAGTCACATGTTATCGTTGTACAAAGGCACTGAAAACTGTTCATTGTCATGTCACATAAGGCCACAAAGTGGCGCTGAACTCAGTATCTCGTGTGACAGCCCTGGGCAGCAATCACGGCTCTGCATCTCCTCGGCACTGACTGGATAAGTGTATGAATTCTGTCCTGCGGAATTCTGCGCCATTCTGCGCCATTCTGCTTCTAACGCGTTGGCCAGTTGTGGGGGTGTCTGCGGCGTGTTCTGACGTAAACGTCGATCGAGTTCATCCCAGAGGTGTTCGATTGGGTTGAGATCTGGAGATCTCGACGGCCAGGGCAAATCGCTGAGGGTAGCATTATGAAGGTAGTCTACCGTGACACGCGGTGTATGCGGAGTGGTCCCGTTGAAACAGCTCCATCTGGCGGTCAATGATTGGAAGAAGGTGAAGTTCAATAATTTGATTCATGTGGCAATTTGCTGTCAAATTTCCCTGATCCACAACCAAGTCAGATCTGGTGGTGTAGGATATGGCCCCCACACCATGACACTACCGTCACCGAATTTGTCGAATTCACGTATACAATGTGAGGCAAAACGCTCATGACGATAAACACGTTGTCTTCCATCTCACCGGTGAAGAAGAAATCGTGATTCATCGCTAAACCACACTCGTCTCCAGTTTCTCAAATTCCAAGGCTGTAAGGTATGACACCAACGCAAGCGTCGCCGTCGGTGGATCTGTTGCAAAACAGGGACGATAACTGGTCTTCTGGGTCGGATTCCAGCCTCGCGAAGATGGTTCCTGACAGTCTGGTCCGATATCCTCAAACCAGCTGCAGTGATGCGTCCTGCAGTCTCCGTAGCTGTGGCATTGCGATGATGTAGGTGGAACAGTCTTATGTAGCGATCCTGTGCAGGGGTGGTAACTCTTGGTCGGCCGGTTCTCGGACGGTCTGCAGTGGAATTGAACTGTGTGTATCGGTCCCAAAGGCGGCAAATGGTGCTGGGGTGGCGTGCAACAGAAGACTGCGATTCCCCTCTTTGGATACGTCCTATGGGGATGTTCCGATCGGCACCACTGAGTCTCGGCATTTTCGAACTTGAAAACTGTTGGCAATTGAATGACAAATTATTGCCTTTTTATAGCCACTACCACAAGTTACGAATGCCATAACTTGCACGCTTATTTTGCTTTACTGTTTTCCTCCATGACATTTTTGAACAAGTGTGAAAACAATGCCATTTAAGACATTGCAAATCGACAATGGCTGCGTTTTGACGCACCGTTTGTCGAATATCAGGCCACCAACATTTTTCCAATAACATATATCCAATTTATAATTCGGATTTTTTGTGTAGTCAGGTTCAATGAACTACATACTACCTGTACGGTTCTTTTTTTGAAGAGTATACTTCTACAGCGATATACTTGTGTTTGCATTATATTCCATATTTCCATGATTTTGTATATTTTGTATACATGGACCGGACACCACTTTTTACATTGCAAATACAATTGTTGCCCATGCAAACAATGTGATGTTTGTAACCTTAATAGTTGTATCCCTCTCTATCTCTCCTAAGTCGACTTAATGTTTTGCTGGTTCGAATCCCTACACGGGGTCCCCATTGGGGTTCATGTGCACCATGTTCAACCGATCAGACAAGGGACATAACTCGATGACCTATTTACCCCTTACCTACGGGAAAGCCTGGATAGGTTGAGTTTTGACCTGACAATTACCCACTGACCCACTGTCGGCCCACTGACGCGTACCATTGTGAAGAAAGGGGTAGCGGGTGGTCTGCGACAAGAAGTACGATGGGTATGTGCGTGTCCAGTCTTGGCTAACAACGAGTTCTAGTTGCTAGTTCAATGGCACATTATAGTACTTGATGATGGGATGTGATCATTCGACGATTCCGCGCCTTATTTGAGCTAATGTAATTACACCGAGGTATTATAACCCTATGAATACCCCGTTAACCCCTGTAAAAACCCGTATATCATGTGAATACCCCGTTTATCCTCGTGAATACCCGTATATCCCTGTGAATACCCCGTTTCTCCCTGTGAATACCCCATTTAGCCCTGCAAATACCCCGTTTATCCAAGCGAATACCCCGTTTCTCCTTCTGAATACCCAAATAACTCTGTAAATACCCCGTATATCCCTGTGAATACCCTGTTTCGCCCTGTGAATACCCCGTTTCTCCCCGTGAATACCCCATTTAACCCTGTAAATACCCCGTATCCCCATGTTAATACCCCATTTTAATCCTCAAATACGCATTTTATCCCCGTGAATACCCCTTTTACATTCGTGGATACCCATTTTATCCCAGTGAATACCCCTTTTATCACCGTGAATACCCCATGCTTGTCGCAAGACGTGTTTGAATAGGGTCGTGTGGTTGGAATGATTGTGTGTCTTCGTGTCCCGACGGCGACGATCATTACACATGCCCTGATTTGCCGATAATATACAGACTGCCGCGATAATATTGACTGCGTCACAAAACAATTAAACCAAATACAAAATTCAAAATCTGATTTTTCTGATGTTCAACGTCGTCAGCGTCAGGTAATGGGATCCTGTTTATAGAATTTGATCCATGTCGTGCGTGCGTGCGCATAGCATGCACATGATTATGATTCTAGGTTTGTCAACACAATACCCGTGCTCGTTGGTTTCACCAAAGTGGAAAAAAACCATCTGGTATCGTATTACTTCTGTCTTTCCTCTCATGTTATCCTGGAACACGTCAGATAACTATAATACTCTTCAACACCCGCGAAGATCCGGGTTAGAATAGGTCTTCAGCATCACATGCTTGCCATGAGAGGCGATCGGGTGGTCAGGCTCGCTGACTTGGATGATGCATGTCATCGTATCCAAATTGCATCGATCAATACTCATGATGTCAATCACTGGATTGTCCGGTCCAGACTCAACTGTCATATAGCTGGAATACTGCGAAGTTAAACACACAAACAATACTCTTCAAAGCGGCCCTAAACCCAACTCACTCACTCATTTGTTGAGGTCGACCTATTATTGACTGCAATGTGTTGAGACAGAGATCCATGTATTTTTTAATAATATGGAAATATCGCATTGTCAGCGAATTCTGAGTTGTTATTTTTCATACTGGCAACCCTTTTGATACAAATTTGTCAAAATGGTCGAAAAAATTAAATTAGGTTGTTCTGTGCAGTTGCGCATGAGATACTAAATACAACAATGTCATTGTACGAGTTCGAATCTCATTCACCGTGTTTCAAACTCTTTTGTGCGTTTTGATTGTGCGTCAGTACAAAAATAAACATTCGGCGCTGGGTATTTTCCGGACCATTACTTCATACATTTGTAAGACACATCTACACTACAGGGGACAAAAATAATCTAACAGGTCGTCTCTCTTTGTTATCAGTGTAAACGGGCTATCACAGATAACCACAAACGGACATCAAGCGGGCACCTTTGACTCGGACATTGTCTGCTCTCACGCAGATACACATAGCTGGCTATACGTATGCGTACTGGCGCATGTGTAGAACTGATGTAAGTCGTGCAGTGATGAGGCTACCACTCTGTGTTTGTGTGGTTGCAGTATTCAGACTGACCCATGGGCTGGACAACGGTCTCGCTCTAACGCCACCCATGGGCTTCCTGTCGTGGGAGAGATTCAGGTGTAACGTGGATTGCAAGCGGGACCCTGACAATTGTATCAGGTGAGTTATCAGCTTAATCGGTGGGAGGGGTGGGGGTGTGGGTGGGGGTGGGGGTGGGTGACGGTTAGGGGGGCGCGGAATGTTTTACTGTTCATCCACTGTCAAGGCGCAACTTTTGTTTTTTACTTGCTTAACCGGAACTTAAAACTTGTGTTTATTTGTTGTTTAACGCCGCACTCAGCAATATTCCAGCTATATGACGGCGGTATGTAAATAATCAAGTCTGAACCAGACATCATCATCATCATCATCATCATAATAATAATTCCTAGTTTGTTCAAGATTCGATCATCTTCGTCGGGGAGGTCGGGGTAACAACAAACAAACATTAAAATGTTTGGATCTACAGACCCATGTTTAATGCCCGGATGAGCGGCTTACTTAACGTTGAATCTCCCTCGGCGGAGTGTGTGTGTGTGTGTGTGTGTGTGTGTGTGTGTGTGTGTGTGTGTGTGTGTGTGTGTTTGTGCTAGTCCGGACTCATGCCGATTAATAGTGCATGCCGCAGTTTAACATGAAAACGTCACTCAGTCACAGTAAACCGACTCCTAGGCGACCAGTCCTTGTTTCATCCCCTTGATGACGAGCGCCAGAGGGGGTTACAACAAGTACCATATTTCAACGTCTTTTGGTATGAACCCCAGACCTTCCGCTCTCCGCATGGACGCTCTACCACGAGACCGCGGAGGTGGTCTTGTGACCTATGGAAAAATCGGTGTAATTTAATTTTTAATGATTTTAATTTGACCTTTGAAATAAACTGTCAGGAATGATTATATTTTTATAGTGTTTCCATGGGAACACGCCACACATAACTTGGGTTACTGGCAAAGCAATGACTAGCATCCGTCGTGGCAACCTGTTAAACTCGTGGTAAACATTTATCAGTCGCTGAGTTGGTATTGCCCGGGATGGCCCGGCATGGCCCGGCATGGAAATAAGCCGTCATGTTTTTGCCGGTGTGATAAGGCTCCTCGGTATAAGGCCTAAAACTGGAACTATTTTGTTCGTCGGACCCATAAACAAAACAACAACGTTTCACAACATATGAAAGAAACTGATAATCTTTTTCCGTTTTTTTTCCCAGTTGCATATCTTTATTTGTTGGTTGCCATGCAGTGAGAGGTTATACAGAAGTATCGCCGACGTCATGGTGTCGGACGGCTACCGTGACCTTGGTTACGTCTACGTCAACATCGACGACTGCTGGTCAGCCAAGTCACGTGACCCACAGGGAAACCTCCAGCCAGATCCTGACCGCTTCCCGAGTGGAATGCTGAATTTGTCGACTTACGTAAGGTCCATTTCCAGTTGTTATGGTCGGTCACGAATCTGGAAAAAAATATGTTCTAACACCTCCGACGTGTTGCCTTGCAGGCCGTCGTCATGTAGTTGGCAAATTGAATAGTGGACATATTTCCAGACACAAATGTAATGTTTTAGAAGTCAGGAAAATATTTAGCATAGTATGCATATCAATTATCTATGACTGAGAAACGATTTTAAGCATTGTGAAACGTTTTCACAGATCAATCTTGGTGCTTACCATACCTATTGCTGTATAGCCTATCATCAGAAAAAATGGCCCGTGAAGATCCGGGGTAGAATAGGTCTTCAGCAACCCGTGCTTGTCCTAAAAGGCAGCTATGCTTGTCGTGAGAGGCGAGTAACGGGATCGGGTGGTCAGGCTCGTGGACTTGGTTGATGCATGTCATCGATCCCATTTGGGTGGATCGATGCTCATGATATCAATCACTGGATTGTCTGGTCCAGACTCGGTTATTTACAGACCGCCGTCATATAGCTGGAATATTGCTGAGTGCGGCGTTAAACAACAAACCAACCAACCAACTAACCACACCAGACGTGCATGACGTCATAACATAGTTGATTGAGTATTATTTCGATTTTCTTTTCAAAGTGAGGAGCTATAAGTGTTTATAAAATGTCCACTCTATTTAATTGTAAAACAGAAGGTTCTCTTCGATTACTAGCTCGATTCTGTAAGTTAAAATCGAAGCGTTTTATGAGATCCCCAAAGCATGTGACCATGTATTTCAAGTTACTAGTTATTAGTTTAACATGTTTGTTTTTGTCTGTGTACATGTTGTATGCATTCAATATACCTCGTATACCTGCTTTGTTCTCACAAAAAAAACCATCTGACTTGTGTAGCGTACTATTAAGTGATGCCATCCAAACCTCCCACCCCACCCCCACTCCATGCCATCCAAACCCCCACCCCCACCCCTACTCCATGCCATCCAAGCCTCCCCCTATCCCCACTCCATGCAATCCAAGCCTCCCACCCCCACCCCTACTCCATGCCATCCAAACCCGCAACCCCCATCCACTCCATGCCATCCAACCCCCCACCCCCACTCCATGCCATCCAAACCCCCCACCCCACCCCAACTCCATGCCATCCAAACCCCCACCCCCACCCCTACTCCATGCCATCTAAACCTCACCCCCATCACCACTCCATGGGGCGGTCGGGTAGCCTAGTGGTTAAAGCGTTCGCTTGTGACGCCGAAGACCCGGGTTCGATTCCCGACGTGGGTACATTGTGTGAAGCCCATTTCTGGTGTCCCCCGCCGTGATATTGCTGGAATATTGCTAAAAGCGGCGTAAAACCATACTCACTCACTCACTCACTCACCACTCCATGCCATCCAAGCCCCCCACCCCCATCCCCACTCCATGCCATCCAAGCCTCCACCCCCCACCCCCACCCCCACTCCATGCCATCCAAGCCTCCACCCCCCACCCCCACCCGCATCCCCACTCCATGCCATCCAAGCCTCCAACCCCACCCCCCACCCCCATTCCATGCCATCCAACCCCCCAACCCCACCCCCATCCCCACTCCATGCCATCCAAGCCTCCAACCCCACCCGCATCCCCACTCCATGCCATCCAACCCCCCACCCCCACCCCCATCCCCACTCCATGCCATCCAAGCCTCCCGCCCCCAATCCCCATTCCATGCCATCCAAACCCCCCACCCCCATCCCCACTCCATGCCATCCAAACCCCCCACCCCCATCCCCACTCCATGCCATCCAAACCCCCCACCCCCATCCCCACTCCATGCCATCCAAACCCCCCACCCCCATCCCCACTCCATGCCATCCAAGCCCCCCACCCCCACTCCATGCCATCCAACCCCCCACCCCCATCCCCACTCCATGCCATCCAAACCCCCCACCCCCATCCCCACTCCATGCCATCCAAGCCCCCCACCCCCACTCCATGCCATCCAACCCCCCACCCCCATCCCCACTCCATGCCATCCAAACCCCCCACCCCCATCCCCACTCCATGCCATCCAAGCCCCCCACCCCCATCCTCACTCCATGCCATCCAAGCCCCCCGCCCCCAATCCCCATTCCATGCCATCCAAACCCCCAACCCCTATCCCCACTCCATGCCATCCAAGCCTCCACCCCCCACCCCCCACCCCCATTCCCACTCCATGCCATCCAAACCCCCAACCCCATCCCCACTCCATGCCACCCAAGTCCACCACCCCCATCCCCACTCAATGCCATCCAAGCCCCCCACCCCCACTCAATGCCATCCAAACCCCCAACCCCCAACCCCTCTCCATGCATCCCTCCATCTCCCACCCCCATCCCCACTCCATGCCATCCAAACCCCAAACCCCCATCCCAACTCCATGCCATCCAAGCCTCCACCCCCACCCCCATCCAAGCCTCCACCCCCACCCCCACCCCACCCGCTTGTGACGCCGAAGACCCGGGTTCGATTCCCGACGTGGGTACATTGTGTGAAGCCCATTTCTGGTGTCCCCCGCCGTGATATTGCTGGAATATTGCTAAAAGCGGCGTAAAACCATACTCACTCACTCACTCACCACTCCATGCCATCCAAGCCCCCCACCCCCATCCCCACTCCATGCCATCCAAGCCTCCACCCCCCCACCCCCACCCCCATCCCCACTCCATGCCATCCAAGCCTCCACCCCCCCACCCCCACCCCCACACCCACTCCATATCATCCAACCCCCCACCCCCACCCCCACCCCCACCCCCATCCCCACTCCATGCCATCCAAGCCTCCAACCCCACCCCCCACCCCCACTCCATGCCATCCAAACCCACACCCCCACCCCCATTCCAGTAACTAAACTTCATTGAATCTGAAGTAATGACAAATGAATAGATATTTACGCCGGTTTTTGTATTCAAGCAAAATCACATAGGGAGATTTGGGAAATGAGCTCCAAACATTGTAGGGAATTGAACCGTCGACGTGACGAGCAAACGGTTTAACAACCAGGCTACCTCACAACGAAGAAGTGAATCTCGAAAACAAGATTGCATTGATTACAAAAACCCACGATCATAGAATGCCAGTACACCTAACGGAGGCAACTATGCACTGTGGATTGTACCGCGTTTGAGGACTGGAGCACCTGTGTCCACTAGATGTTTATGTGTGATTGTTAATAGAAGTCGGTACAGCATATATATGCTCAAATCCAGTCCGTTGACCTTCTGTTTCGTTATAGATGCATTCGCGAGGACTGAAGCTGGGCATCTACGGAGATGTGGGGACTGAAACTTGTGGTGGTTATCCCGGAAGTCAAAACTTCTTGCAACAAGACGCACGCACCTTCGCCAAGTGGGGAATAGATCTTCTCAAGTTTGATGGTTGCCATAGCAGCCGTGAGAACTTGGCCAAATGTAAGATGATAATAATGATAAAAAAATTGACGTCCATAAATTTCCCTCCCTTTTAAGTATCACTTCTAAATGCCTTTCAAAGACTTGATCATATTGAATGTTCATTTTATTTAGATTATCCAGAAATGAGCAGACAACTTAACCAGACTGGTCGGTCCATACTTTATTCTTGCGAATGGGCGAGTTATGACATACTTAACACCGAGGTATGACTGAATATTGCTATTCATATATTCTTGAGGTAAAGCCAGTCTCGTGGTTGCGTCTTTCCTGGCCATTGGGTAGCATTGCGTTCAATCTCTTTAAAATCAGATCTAAGGTCTCTAAACAAAGATCTGAGGACATCCCATTACGGGTTACGTCAGAACGACCTTTCGCGAACCTTAACCGACCAGCCAATTAGAAAGCAGCATTCTCGAACTTTACGGTACTCGTTTCAACCTGGCGACTTCCATTTTGACTACGCTTGAAAAATATGTTGACACAGTTCTCGATTAAAATTTTGAAAACTGAACAAACGAACATTCTGGAAGGTCTAATATATGGTTTCGATTGTACGGCAGTACTTCCCACATACTGTGCAACACCTCCTCCGTAAGACAAGTTCTATGGATGAACAACTTCTTTATTACAATAAGTGCGACGTTTCGGTGTAGATCCTAACACCTTTATCAAGCAAGAGTAAATCGTCTAATGGACACAGAGTCAGCAAGCAGATTAATTGTCCATTAGACAATTTGATGGCTTCTAATTTACTGGCTTCACAAACATCCCAATCAGCTTCCGAGGTTGTTTACCCTGTCCCATTAGTCATCCACTGGCTTCCAATTACCTTAATCAGCTCTCTGTGTCCATCAATCAATTTACTGTATAAACATTGATGGTAATAAGTATATATACATGTACCTATGTTGTTTAGCACTCGGAGTCCATACCACACAACCAACTAAAACCACACAATCCTTCCGACTCCCAAACAACCAATCAACATTCACGGCAGAACTAATGGGCATGGCCTCAGCCCTCCATAATCAAGAAACCAAAAACCACAAAAAAATCCGAAAAACCGACTCCCTAAGTGGACTGCAAGCCCTCCAAAACAAAAATACCAAAAACCGACCTAAATTAATAAATCAAATACTTAAAAGCTCCAACGACCTAACTAAGGCAGGCAAACAAATAACCTTCTTGTGGATACCCGCCCACGTAGGAATATACGGTAATGAAAATCCCAGAAATAAGCTTAAACTTACCCATCTCAAAATCAGAAATTAAAAGTGTAAACAAGCAAAGAATCACAAAAAAATGGCATAACCTATATCTAAACTCAAATAGCCAAATCAAAAAAGTGCTCAGCAAACCACTAACCAAACCAAAAATTCTCCATCCATCCAAAAAAATCGACAGAGTAATCACTAAACTCCAAACAGGACACACCAACCTAAATAACCACCTACATTTTAAAAAAAAACACACTACAGGTAACTGCCCACACTGCAAACAACCAGAAACCCCAGAACACGCACTCATCCACTGCACACACTACCTAACACTTCGAACCGCATTACAAACCACCCTCAATCTAAACAAGGCTCTAACTCTAGAAGCAATACTAAACCCACAAAATAAACTAGAAAACTTCAAGGCCTTAGGCGTATTCTTAATAAAAACGGAACTAATAAAACGCATCTAAAAACACAATAACCTACCAAATCAAAATCACATAAACAAACAAACATCCACCATACCCAGCTCCCTTAGTTCTCCTCCCCAATCCCATCGGCATCTATTCCAAATCTCAAAATTCCCAAATTCTATATAAGCAACCCCTAAAACCCCCCTCTTGGGTTGCACAGACCACCTTCGCCCCTTTCGGAAACACATTAAATGGCCTGGCCGGGCCCGTGTGCGAAATACGCATCAGTCGGAAAGCGCACGTTAAATCTCCAAAGTAAGTAAGTAAGTAAATGTTTAGCACTATCCATCACTTGCTTGATAAAGGTGTTAGGATCTACACCGAAACGTCGCACTAATTGTAATAAAGAAGTTGTTCATCCATAGAACTTGTCTTACTTCATCACACCAACTTCTAAATGCCACTTAAAGAAGTTACCTCCTCCGTTCAAATGTTTATCCCACGGAACCGAGAGATAGACGATAATTTTGACGGAATCAGTCGTACGGGCCGTAACTGACGTTCGGAATACCCCGTTTTAACGTTCTCGAGATTGCATGATTAGAAAACACATTCCGACTGTCACTTTCATGATCTGGTACGCATTGATTGGTCGGATGAAAGGTCGTTTTGACGTGACCCGTAATGGGATGTCCTCAGATCTTTGTTTAGCGGCAGCGAGAACTAAGATCTGATTTTAATGAGATTGCATTGCGTTTGAACGCGTTTACTTCCTGCGTTATTTGGGCTCATCCTAAAGAGCGCAAAAGCTTTGACCATTTCTAATTTAAAAAAAATAAATTCATAATACCAACATCCGGGATAGTTTGGTTTGAACATTATTTTCGTTGTATACAAGTTTCAGAATAAACCCCGAAGTTATGCAATTCTTAGGGGTAGATGTAGATGTGGACGTGGGATTAGGTGTAGAGGTAGTGGAAGGTGTGGATGTAGGTGTAGATGCAGAGGAAGGTGTGGATGTCGAGGTAGATGCAGCGATAGGTGTGGATGAAGGTGTAGATGTGGAGGAAGATGTGGATGTCGAGGTAGATGTAGCGATAGGTGTGGATGTAGGTGTAGATGTAGAGGAAGGTGTGGATGTCGAGGTAGATGAAGCGATAGGTGTGGATGTAGTTGTAGATGCAGAGGAATGTGTGGATGTCGAGGTAGATGTAGCGATAGGTGTGGATGTAGGTGTAGATGTAGAGGAAGGTGTGGATGTCGAGGTAGATGTAGCGATAGGTGTGGATGTAGGTGTAGATGTAGAGGAAGGTGTGGATGTCGAGGTAGATGTAGCGATAGGTGTGGATGTAGGTGTAGATGTAGAGGAAGGTGTGGATGTCGAGGTAGATGTAGCGATAGGTCTGGATGTAGGTGTGGATGCAGAGGAAGGTGTGGATGTCGAGGTAGATGTAGCGATAGGTGTGGATGTAGTTGTAGATGCAGAAGAAGGTGTACATGTCGAGGTAGATGTAGAGGAAGATGTGCATGTAGAGGTAGGCATAGAAGAAGCATATTACTAGTAACCAAAATTCCAATTTGGATTGAGGGTCGCTCGAACGTTCTTATTAAATGAAACGCATCCATACTGAACACGTTCATTTCGTCCCGTGTGCCAAATACGGAGGAATATGACGAGATCGTCATCACTCAAGGAGTGAGTGAGTTTAGTTTTACGCCGCTTTTAGCAATATTCCAGAAATATCACGTCGGAAGACACCAGAAATGGGCTTCACATATGGTTACAATGTGGGGAATCGATCCGGGTCTTCGGCGTGACGAGCGAACGCTTTACCCACTAGACTACCCCACCGCCCCAATCACTCCTGGACCGATAGCAATCAGTATGTGGTGGTTACGACATGTGATCTGAAGCTTGTTGATTGTATGTCACCATACCCCGACGGCGATGATCGTTGCTCACATTATCAGAAACTGATTTGAAGGATGCTGACCCAGATTATGTACAGGTCGCCGTGATATAGATGGAATATTGTTGACTACGGTTTAAAACAACATTCATATTTTATAAACAGCTCAATAACGTGTCAGTTTTTGACACTGCACAATGTCTGTTTTTTTGTTTCGTCTAGCGCATGTATGAAGTCAACAAGAAGTACTGCAACACTTGGAGAAACTTCTTTGACATCCAAGACAGCTGGCGGAATGTTCTAGAGGTCATTATCTATTATAGGATAGATCTTGGCAACTTTTCTGGAGTAGCTGGACCTGGTGGCTTCAACGATCCGGACCAGGTGAGCTTCGTGATGACGGGTTCTTGGGCAAGGTGCTTATATAGTCAGATAATGTTTCAAAATAATGCGAATATACAGCAGAAAATATTTATAACGAACACGGATATAACATCCTAATGGTTATAACGATATAACATCCTAATGGTTATAACGAACTATTTAATAAGTTCAACTGCTTTACTGAATACTATGGTATTAATATTCATCATCATTAATTCACAGGACCAACGAATTCCGTAGTAAACTGAATTTTGCACCCTAAAGTACGGAAGCCTTTTAGGGCCATTTTTTCGATACTATCTTGACATTTCAAGATCATAGGTTGAAATTTCAAGATACTAAGTAGAAATTTCAAGTTATCATCTTTAAAGTTCGAGATGATTATCTTGAAATTTCAAGATGATCATCTTGCAAGGTTAGTATCTTCAAATTTCAAGAAAAAAATAAAAACAAACAAACGGCCCTTCCGGCCCTTCCAAAAGGCTTCCGTTAAGAGAATTCCATGTCAAAATGATGAGATCTGATTGGTCCACGTCATCTTTATGTAATACTATGTCTCCTGCATCAGTCGCCATGGGTGAATAAAACAACGAATTATTATCTCATTCTCAATTCACTACACCGAGATAAGTGAACGTCAGTTAGAATCCATCGCGATCAGAGGTGAATCAATACTCACACCAGTCAAGAGCGGCATAGCGCAAGAGCGTAACTATTTCCGTGGCATTAAGATATAACGTCGACAAACATTGTCTCCGAGTCAGACCTGATCACTATTTCCGAATTATGAACTGTAATCACACATGCATTTTCGAACACCTGGTGTCATCACTGATTTTGAATGACCCATATTTTCCCCGCTATTTATTTTTACTTCCAAAAGTATCTGTTTCGGCTGAGGATCGAGATCCTTATTCTCTGGTGTGGACGGCTGATGCGTATTTCAAGCAACGTCTAACGGAGAGGTGCGAAACTACCATTGTAGCTTACACCGAAAAAAGTACAATTTTTGTTTACACCTAAAAAAACAACAATTCTTTTATAAGTTATCCTCAATTTACCATCTATGCAGTAAAGTATTAATTCAAACTCAACACGGTCGAATGTGGTATTTATTGTCTAACTTGAAAATCGGAATCTTTCGCACTTTAGTATTTAAGTGGCAGATGGTTTGTGACCTGCCCTCACACAATTAGGTTCATTATTATAATAGGTCTGCTCGCGTTAATATATGAAAAAATAAATAACCATCACATAATACGAATGAACATGTAAAAACACATAAAAGAAATATTATCATTTCGTTTTTATGTCCAAATTTCATTAGTCATCATAGATGTTTCTCGAATGAAAGTCGAAAATGTGATGGTGAAACACGTTTATACATAACTAATGAAACATTATTATAAAAATTACCAACATTTGTTGCATGCAAGATCTAACATAAACGGTCCAAAAATGAAAAAAAATAGCTTTTAAGCGCATCTAATTTTAGTGAAATTAGATTTGCTAACACTTAAAATTAGCCTTTTTGCGCCCCTAACGGACTTACTAGTTAGTCGACTCTCATTTTTTCGAAACGGTATTGTCGATCGTTATTGTTTTTCAGTTCGACAATTATCATAATTCCAATGATAGGATTTAAAAAAAGGATCAATTTCTCATGCAAAATCCCCCTTTACAAAGTCGTTGAGTGGTCAATCAAAACTCACTGCTTACAGCTGATCATTGGGGACTTCAGTCTGAGTTATGACCAGGAGAAGGTTCAGTTCGGGATGTGGGCGATGTTTGCCGCCCCACTCTACATATCCGCTGATCTGAGGACCATGAGACCACAGGCCAAGTCCATTCTACAGAACAGGGGCGTCATTGCCATCAACCAGGACCCACTGGGACAGCAAGCGAAGCTCCTGACAAAGGCACGTTATATTATTGTCTCTAATATTTAATCTACGACATCCGTGTGAACTATTGGTGCAAAGTAACCAAAGTTTGTCGTGAGGTGAGGTGAGGTGAGGTGAAACGTCGCGTCCAAGATTATTGCACGAACATAGCGACGTGCATGCACGTGTGGGCGCGCGCGTGTGTGTGTGTGTGGCTGCTTGTACTAGTCCGGACTAATGCCAACTTGTGTAGTGCTATCCCACTGAGACACATTATACTGACTCCGAGCCGACCAGTCTTTGTTTTAGCCCCTTAATGCCGAGCGCCAGGTAGGGTAACAACCAGTACCATCTTCTTAAGTCGTTTTGTATGACACGGCCGGGGTACGAATCCCAGACCTTCCGCTCTCCGGGCGGACGCTCCACCACTAGACCACGGAGGCGGTCGCTTGTCGTAAGAGGCAACTATCCATTGTTTCGTGGCAACTATAATGATCGGACGGTCAGGCTCGGTGATTTCGTTGATTGTATGTCATCTATGACAGTGAATGGGTACCCGGTAGGATGAGATGGTAAGTGGCTGATAACCTAGCGCCTCACAGGCAGTTTAGATTGTGTACTCTCCAGGCAGCTGAGAATTAAAAAATCGAGTGCACACACTGATCCGTTGACCGGGGTAATAATGTTAGAGCTTTGAACATACACCTTGCGTGAGGAGGGTAGCGCAATATAAGTATACACATGATTATTATTATTATTTATCTACCCCGAGCCTTTGCAGTTAGTAAATCACTGGTTAATCTGGTCCAGAGGCGATGCTGCTATATTACTGGTTCCAGCGTTAAACAACAAACAAACAATAATATTTTGAACTATATTTAAGATGTAATACATTACCCTAAGAACTTTATTCTACTATGAAAACCGTATCAAGTAACCATATCAACTGACATATCGATTAGATTTACCTGAGACAATTACCTTTTTCACCTCCAGATCGCAAATATTCAAGTGTGGACCAAAGCATTGGCTTTTCCTCGAAGTTATGCAGTTGCGTTTTTCAATCCGGATCTTGGTGGAACACCCACACTCGTGACCTTGACCTTGTCGCACATCCAATTGACCAATCAAAATGGGTACAACATCACGGACGTATTCGACGACATCAACATTGGGACATACAATCTTACAGATAAATTCAGTATTTCAGTTAATCCAGAGGGAATTGTTCTTCTCAAGATCGTTCCACTGTGATATCCCTGGAGAACATTCAAAAAGTCTTTTGTTTCACGATTTGTCCGAACACATATTCCAGTTTTGATGTTGAATAAAATAACAATGAAAAGTGGACATCAAAGTATGTGGCAATTTGATTGGTCAATCCTGAAATGTGGTTCCCGAAACTAGAAACCATACTACCAAATCAAATTGTGTAGCAGTTCATGAATGCTGGTGATTTTTTTTTTAAAACAACAAAATTTTAAAAAATCCAGACAAATATAGGTGCATTCATAACAGATGTCATATACATTATGGTTTTTCAAAAATCTCATGAAATAGAAAATTATGAGAAGTTCCGCTTGGGCTGGAGTGAAGATAGGTGAAATATATAAAACGAAAGAAATATCTTCGCCTCTGATTTTACACAGACAGTTTGTTAGCTGGACATGCTGCACGTCCAGGAGAAACAACTGTACAGCACCAATGGGCTCATGGCAGCTCTGAATATCAACTCGCCTGGATCCCTTAAATTCGTAAACCAGAATGATCTCATACAATAATACACCTGTAACTACAGGTAGGAACAGAACAGAACTTTATTACGCTCAGGCCGAGATCCTCGGCATATGAGGTACAAAATGACAGCAAAACACACATTATAATAGCGGATATGTGGTTAGCCGGAAGATTTTACAATTTGCATTACATATTTACAGAATTTACTAAGGTTTTCTAATACAGATATCTCTTTACAAGTGAAAAGTCTTTGAAATTTAATCATATTAGGTCTTTTAGAATATGTAGGTGGAATATACAAAATTCTTTCTTTAGTAAAATATGGACATTTAAAAATATAGTGAAATTCATCTCCAATATCATCAATAAAACACAGTTTACATTTTCTTTCACAAATAGGTATCCTATTCCATCTTCCTTTTTCAATTGGTAAGTGGTGGCATGAAGTACGAAATAAAAGTAGAGGGATAGCTTTATTTAGGGGTAGGGACGTCAGATAATTTTCTAATTCAAATTGTGGTTTCAAGAGAGAATAGACTACACTTTTTTTGGAATTTTCCACCTCAGAGCTCCAGGTTTGTTTAGCATGGTCAGTTAAAATAGAGTGAGCTGTTGCTTTGAGCCAGGAAGATGAAACAGGAGACTGTGACAACCATACATAACTTAAACCAATATTGTTTAGAACATTTTGAATACATGAAATCCAGTCATAGTTGTAAACACCTGTATTATGGATGTTATATACAATAGAGTAAATGATTGAAGATATTTTGCTGGATTTATCTGTAAGTAATTTCGACCAAAAGGTTAACATACGGGTTTTAACATCAACAGATAACGGAACTCTACCTAGTTCACCGTAAAGCATGCATAAAGGGGTACTCTTTTTAACAGGTAGTAATTTTCTCATGAAACAAATATGTACATTTTCAATTTGTTTTAGATTAACAAAACCCCATAATTCACAACCATATAATAAGATTGGTTTTACCATTGTGTCAAAAAGATATAATTGGCATTGAATTGATAAATTAAGGTTTCGGCTTTTACGTAGTACGAAATACATGGATTTTGTAGCCTGTTGACATAGATTAGCAATGGATGCTTTAAAAGAACACTTTTTATCAATTATCAGGGTTACATGTTTTTTTGCTTGTTGTTTGACCTACACTCAGCAACATTCCAGCTACATGACGGTGGCCTGAAACAATCGAGTCTGGATCAGACAAAACGAGTGAGCAACGATTCACGCCTTTGAGGGAAAGCTGACATGTAATCAAGTCACTGAACCTGACCCAGATCCATTAAGCCGCCTCGGACGACAAGCTTAAGCATTGGTAGCAGTCACTGTATCCTTCTTGCTGGGAACCTATTCTAACCCGCATCAACACGTGGTGGCCACATTGTTTGATAGACATTACTTAGAAGTTGACGAATGACAAAGTAGACACAATTTATTTACTGTAAATAAAGAAGTTGTTATCCATAAACTGTCTACTTTGTGGTAGGCCGCGTTGTAAATGATTCTGAAGCAAACTACATGTATCTCCTTCTGGCCCCAATCTATAACGATGTTGGAGTCGATCAAGGTTATCCTCTTGTAGACGGCTGTTACCATCACAACAAAACTCCAGCTGACCTTTTATGTTTTTAGTAAAACGTTTCAAAGTTCTGTATACATATAGTTACTGCATATAGTTGATCATTTCTTCACACACATACGTTATTCATTAAGACACAAATCTATAGCGATATGTAAAGGCTTTAAGATATTGGTTGATAGTATATATAGAACAATTTTGGAAAAACTACATAGCAAAAGCTAACATACATGCCTCAAGCAAGTTCAAGAAAAAGTCATAACTGTGGGGGTAATTATCGTCTTTCATCGCTGTAGCGGCAGTGACGTTAGACCAAGTAAAAATTGTCTGCATGAAGCCAAGCGTGAAAGCGTGAGATTCAAATGTTCAGTTGTTTCAAATGTATGTATGTATGTATGTATGTATGTATGTATGTATGTATGTATGTATGTATGTATGTATGTATGTATGTATGTATGTATGTATGTATGTAATGTATGTATGTATGTATGTATGTATGTATGTATGTATGTATGTATGTATGTATGTATGTATGTAAGTAACAAAAACCTAAAAATCCTGTCAGGTGGGTTGAGTTAAGCAGTATATTATTGTTTCCCATAGTTGCAGAGTAATAGTTTTCCGTCGAAAACATATTTCTGATTGAATAGAATGACACAATATATTCTTTAGAAATTCAAAGGTTTGGAAATAAACAATATTTCAAACCAAAAAGACTCAAACATAGCATGTAGCAACAGAGAGCTAAAAATCAAATGCTTAGAATAAAAGTAACCATTTTTTGTTAAAGTTATTTTTGTCATGCTTTTTATAGCAATAATTTTCTCGATTGAATATGTTTTAAGTAGTTTTAAAAGTATATCTATTTTCGGTTTGGTTCCTTTGATTCCATATACATGAATATGCCTTTCCCCCAATAAAAGTATATGATTAAAGTATCAGTTACAACCAAACCAAATAAGATATTTTGTCAATTTATTTTTTTGAGAAAGATGTTTGTTGAGCCAAAGATTAAAATCAGTCCCAAAGTGTTTAGTGACATACATTCCCAAAAGATTTCCTCATTGACAGGATTACAAAAGCTACAAACACTGTTGTCTTCAAGATTCAGTGTTAATAGTTCCTTCTTTGTGTTGATAATTCAATGTAGAAATCTGTACTGAAAATCTAAAACTTTTACATCATTCAGTTTACATCTATAAACAGTAAATATCTTTTTCCAATTAAAATCACAGTGAAATGTTGATTGCCATTTATCACAAACTTTAAGATTATTTTCATTCCATATAAATTTATCAAAAAATGATTCTAGCGCCTCTGAATGCTTCATCAGATCACTTCAGCAACTTCAGCAACTGTTTAGATACAAGTTCTGTAAAAGTATTTTTCTAGTTTTCTTGATTGTTATTTTCTATGAGTCTGGTATAATGAAAAATAAATATCTATAGTCTAATATTGTACCTTTAATCGGATATTTATTTTCTGTTCTTCAAATGACATCAATCCGTTTTCATTGCATATATCTTTAATTGAGAAAATTTCATTATTGCCCCATTGCTTTACGTAGTATGTTGCTTGTTTGAAGTTGTGATTAAGTCATAACGGTTGGGACAAAATGTCTTCGATATTATCAACATTGATAATAATTCTTTTTACAAAAGTTGTTCCAAGCTTTCAATATATCTTTCCAGTAGGGGTTTTAACAAAAGATTGCTTGTCAACATTAGCACCCAGAGAGAGTTTATCATTAATTGGGATATTACAAGGTAGACTGTATGTTGTTTTTTCGCAATATTATCTGAGCGTATACGTAGGTAGTTTCAGTGCGTCAATAAAGGTACTAATGATAATCACGTGTAATCCACCTTCCTCATTTTTTCTTGTCAAAGTGGTCCTTTTGATATTGTCTTTTTTATTATTCCAGACAAAATTGTAAAATATTTGTCAAGTGATAAGACATAGTCCTGAAGAGGGTTTGGTAGTGTCGAAAATATGTGAACTAGTTGGCAATGCTAAAGTTTTTATGACTGTAATTTTTCCTATTATCGTTAGTTTCCTTTTTCTCCAATTTGCAAGCAATCTATTTATTTCTTCTAGCTTTCTCTTTGTATTGATTACCCCGAGTTCACTTAAGTTTTAATTAAGTTCCTAATACTTGAAATTCCTTATCGTGCCATTCTATTTGTAAATCTTGACATAATCGACCATTACTACCCGCTTTTGGGCCTATCCATATTGCTTTTGTCTTGTCTACATTAATCTTTAAACCAGAGTGAGTGAGTGAGTTGGGTTTAACTCCGCTTTTAACAGTATTCCAGTTATATCGTGGCGTGTCAGCTTAATGTGTGAGGAAAGCCAGAAGTGATGCAAGTCTCAGACGTTTACCACTTCGGTGAAACCCACGAGCACGGGTATGGTGCTGACAAACCTAGAAACATAATCGGGGCGAACCGGGATTCGAACCAACAATCATAGGTTTCTGGCATGCCCAAGAAACGCAACTCTGCATAGCGAATCGCGGCGCCTCAGACGACTGGGCCAGCCGTGCCCCCTTTAAACCAGACATTTTGTAGAATTTAAAAAGTGTTTCTATAGCTACATATAAGCTTTCATCTTTGCCATTTAAAAATAATTCAGTATCATCAGCATACAGCCAAAGATTGTATTCTTTGTCATTTACAGTAATCCCTTCAATTTTATTATTATTTCTTATCATACATCCAAGGATTTCAGCTACTAGGAGGGAAATGGGTCTCCTTGTCGACAGCCTCTTTCATTTGTAAAACAATCTGATAAATGACCGTTTTGTATTATGCTTAATGTAGTATCGTAAGTTAATATATTTATTCACCCTATCATTTCTGGTCCAAATTCGTATTTTTGTAAAACTTTATTTATAAATTGTTTTGATCAAATGCCTTTTCAAAATCGATCAGCAGAAGTAATGCTGGTTTATTTTGTCTTGTTGATTCAAAGATAATATCATATAACAACCTAGTGTTTTCTAAAATAGATCTTCCTGGAATAAATACTGTTTGATTATTATGAATGAGCAATTCCAATGTCGATTTTATACGGGTTGCAATACAAGTACTTATTATTTTAGAGAGTGCATTCATTATTATTTATCATAAGTTATTGGTCTCTAGTGTTTTTATCAATGTTCTGTCTTTATTGGATTTTGGTATACAAGTTATAACGCCTCTTTTCATTGTCATACAAATGTTGTTACTAGCATAAGTACTATTTACAAATCTGTATATCCAGAATTTTAGTTCTTTCCAGAAAAAAATCAGGAAAGCCATCAATGCCGGGACTTTGATTGTATTTCATGTTTTTTACTGCCAATGAAATTTCTTCAATCTCAATTTCTAGTTTTTAATTTGGTTGTCTCATGTTGGAGTCTCTAAATTTGTTAAAACTTCTGACATTGCCATAAGATGTACATAATATTTGATAAAAGTTTCTTAATTCATCTAATATGCAATTACCGTCTGTTGTTATTCTATTTTTAATTAGTATTCCTCTTATTTCCTCTTCTTTTATATGTTCCATTTCTAATTTGTATTTTGATAACTCTGGTAGATGTTTTTAGTCTATTTGTTGAAAATTTCGCCTTATGTCATCTTCTAAATCGCTTATCGTACTTTCTAATCTTTTCTGTTTGATTCTGTCTTGCTTTAGTTTCATATATATCTTTATATAATTTTCTAAATAAACTGCAGGATTAAGAATAAGGTTCCAGTCACCAACAATAACTAATGAATCATTTTCGAAGTTGTCCATATTGTCAAATAGATTTTTATAAAAATCAGTGTCATAACTATCAGGTCCATAGAGATTAGTTAATGTTAGTCTTGTACCTTCTAGAGTTATATCATCTATTATATCATTGCCATTTTCATTTATTTTAGAGCTATGAATTGTAATGTCTACATTATTGTTAAACATTATAGCAACACCTCTAACATTAGATTTATATGGTGCAATTATGCTTTGTATACCCCATTCATTCCTCATAAGAGTAACATCATTTTTTGAAATGTGAATGTCTTGCAATCAAACAATAGAGACCTTTCTTTTTCTCCAAATATTCAGTACTTCCTTCCTCTTATTTATATCTGCCCAGCCTCTGCAATTAGCCGAAATCACTTTTATTTATTTAATATTGGCCATTATCTACTATTACAAATTGTAATGTACAACAATGAGCTGCAACGGGTATTTGACTTCGATAAACTACAGGGAAATTTTTTTTCTTTGCAAACTAAAAAAAATTAGATGAACATAGAAATATAAAAACATAAATACAGGCGTTCCACAATGGACGAAGGAATCCGCCTTTAAATTAATCTGAAAGAGACCCATATCATATATTTAAATGTTATGTATCTTTTCATTTTATCTGTATTGTCAATCTACAAGATGAATTGACCTAGAGGACCTGAATTAAATACAGGAACTCGAAGATACACACATTCCTCTCTGGCCTATTATTATTAAGTCATCATCCGAAAAATGCTGAATATGGGGTTAAGCCAAAAAATGTGAAACTAAAATTAAGTATTTAGATTTCCCTGTAAGAAAACCCCAACCAACAAGCAAATACACCATAAGAATAGCAACAAAACCAGCTGAATCTATTTCAAGTGGTCAAGCCATGGGTATGTGTGTGTGTGTGACACAGTTCAAAATATTGACATTGCACATGTCACGACTTCAACGTTCTATAGGTTTGTATTTATAATTTAATTCAACTATATCTATATTAAGTTAACTAAACTGATTCAGTTGGCATCACAACCTCAACATCACCGGTAAGATACCTTTAACTCATTTTACATTACAAAAGGGGTGGTGGTGGTGGTGTGTATGTACCGAACGCTAAAGTTCGGTTAAATTGCTATCCAAGTGACCGAAACCCAAGAACCCTTTATAGTTAAATATCCCCACGTCAGCTCATTTATTCAATGTACAGTGGGTCGCAGGAACCGTCGAGCACATAGATGTTCACAAGCCTAATTGATACTCCTTGCCCAGCCCCTTTCCCGTTGATCAGACAACAGGTTTTGAATGAAATTATATTTACATTTATCTGAACCTAGAACATAAAATGTTATAATAAATGTGTATCTATGAAATGATTCATAAACATAATTTGGTTTCCATGAATAAACCTTCACCAATTCGTGTTTACTTTTGTTATCAATCGTGTGTATGATTGAATACATTGAGATATGTATTACAAAAGAAATTTCTCCCTGATTCTTGAGAAAGGTAAGACTTAAACTTGAAGGGATGTAAAAATATATCTTTTCTGTTATACACGTCCATATATTTGTCCCTATTATCCCAAAGGCTGCCATCTTTTACAAAATGAATGTCTTTCCTCATCTGAAGGCCATGGGCAATATTTGCAAATCCTATTTCCGTCATGACGTCATGTTTCAACAACAGGTCAGCCACAAATGTGAAATTGTTTTCAAAAGAAGCTGGTACGTACATAAAATCACAGCCTTGAATAAATATATTTGAAAAATTGTTTGAGTTATGCTGAAAATTGTGAAGAAAGCGATGTGCAAAAGATCTTGTTGACTTTGGCTTTGACATGTTCCGTATTTCATCAATGACGGCTAGTATCCTTGGTTTACCCCCTCTCCACCAATTCCACATGGGATTAATCTCTTTGTCAGAGACGTTTTCACGCCTGATTCCCGTATGCAGCCAGATCTTATCACGTGGTAGCGTGTAGATGTTCCAAGGGTTAATCAGAGTGTCATCTCCAATCTGTAAGAATCCTTTCACATCGACATTGAGCTTCATGGCCTCAACGGTGCATTCATACATGTAGTACCAACCTCTCTTCAAGAGTTCCATGTATATGAAATACCCTGTGCTTGTTTTATGAACAGAGGATGTGAACGTATTGATCTTTGGTCCACAGAAAATGATGCTATGAAAATAAGGGCGGTATATGGCTTCTAATATTGGAATATTTGCATACAATGATGGCTCATTAAAGGATATTATAAGTACTATATCATTTATAGTCATATTAGGGAATGCCATGGCAGTTTTTGGACATACAGTGCCAAGAATGTCCTTTGTCTCTTTGCTCATAGATGTGGAGATTGTCGGCAAAGAAATAATTCCAGCTGTAAGATTTTTCTTCAAATGAATAATTCTCTTTTGAGCAGTCCGTTTTGGAAGTTGATAATGGATAGACCTTAAATCAGAGATCCATCCATCCACTAAATGTATGTCTCGTAAAGTAAGGAGTTTATTTTCTTTCAGGAGTTTTACTAAGTCACTCATACATTGTAACACATCGAGATCCCCTTTACATTGCCAAAACTGCAAAACGTCAATCAAAGGTTTTGAAGAAGTGGTGTTCAATGTATCCGACTCTAGTTCCACAGAAAGAGGATAAATACCAGTCCTGCCCCTAACATCCCATAAGACACGTTGCACTATAATATCCCCTCTGATGACACTCATCAAAGGAAGAGCCCAGAAGGCATTGTACTGGAACATCATCAAATCTGAACTTAAGGAGGTGAATGTTTTACATGGAAGAAATATTGGGGGACGTTGGCTAATGGATTTAGAATATGTGTCATGTTCTTGTAGTGAGCCTGTATGTCTTTTAAGCATTTGGGGATAGAATACTGACAGAATCAAAGGGTTTAAATGTTCTTCAATGTAAAATTCATTAGATGATGACTTTTCTTCCAAGAGATTTCTTGATTTGTTCCCAGTTGTGATTGGTGTCATGTTGGGTTCAAAGAACGTTTTGTTTGTCATAAGAACTAAGCCAGATTGGGGAAGATTATCTGTAATTCTTTTCAACATTTCCAACACATGTATGTTCAAGTGATGGATGAGACATATGAGACTTGCCCCATGAGATATGGCATAGAGATAAGCACGGTTCCCATCTTCAACAGCGTCATGTGACGTGTTTATTGTGTTCCAAGTAACACACCACGGTGACCTGTAAATAGAGAGAACATTGAGGGTAGGAATGGTTTCTGGTTTTGTTTCTGACTGACATCATGTCCATCGATCTAAGAAATCATACAGTTTATTCAGTATCTAAGGAGATGTGGCCCATGTCACTGTTCAGTTTTACCAAATACATGAACACCAACGTGAAAATGAACATAGCATAATATATATATATATATATATATATATATATATATATATATATATATATATATATATATATATATATATATATTCATTCATCTCAGTCTAAATACATGTTTTAAGTACATTGTAAAGTTTTGATAACATCTTCCTTGTTGGAATTCAACCAAAAATTGGTAATTAATTGATTGTCTTTGTAGGTAATTATCTGAAACTTTGGTCTTCAATCTCAAACTTTTAACAGAATCAATACGACATTTATTGACATGGAAGTTATGGAGAGATTTTCTAAATTTACAAAGGGTACCTATGAGCTTCAATTTTTAATACTTTTATCCAATAGTTAACAACACGCAGCTGGCTATGTACATATATACTACAGCGACCAGGTAAGTATTGCTTTAATTGAAGCATATTTACCAATACATAAAAATCGCTTAAAAAACAAAGTATGAACCTTTTCAATGGATTCCAAATATTTAATGCCCCAACTTTACGAACCAAGTAACAAAATAGGTACAATTTTACCATCAAATATCGAATTTGCTGTGGAAAATGAGATTAATTTGTTTTCCTTAAATAATGTATAAACAGGAAACATTGCCTCAGATGCCTGAAGATCTATGGTCTTACAAGCCTTGGACCAATCAGCAGGCAGCAAGCAAGCAAGCAAGGGTTGGAGAAGACTATTTCTAACCAAGGACTACACGGGAGGCTGATATTGCAGAGAGTTCCATTAAAAAAATAACTTCTAAAAATCATTTTTTTAAATTCCTGTATAAATGTGTATTGGACATACGTTATTATCAAATATCACAAAGATATTAATTCCTCATTTCTTTGGTCAAGGATTTCGAAAATCGTAATTAACTCAATTTTGACGGTGAATAAAATCAGTGTAAGTTCCCTTAGTTACAAGGCAGCCCAAGATAAACACCACTGCTGAATTGTTCAAAGTGAAGTGAGGTATGCTGGTATTTAATGAGGACATATAAGTAATAGATTTGTGCAAAACAAACATTACTGCAGAAATGTTCGGTTTGTGCACGTCTAACTCGCGGGAAATTAGAAATCAAGGCTTGTGAGGAAAACGAGGTGATTCGGGTCGACGACCTTTACCACTCTGCTGAAACCATCGAGCAGGGGTATTGTTCTGTGACAAAACCAGAGTCACAATCAGGGTTAATCTTTGGATCCACACCCGCGATCACAGGATTCTTGCATACCTAAGGGAAATAACTCTTCACGGCGAACTGACCAGGCGTCTTAGACAATAGGGTCCTTTGAGAGCCCTGGTAGACAGTGAAAATGAGCTTCTACCATTGATATTGTATCGACTCAACAGACGAAGTTAGATAACATGGGGAGAAGTAGAACAATAGGGGTTCCGGATCAGCCCTGATTGTTGGATGGATGTAAAGCCTTGGATTGAGGGGAGATTCCAGACTGGAGGATACAAAGAGGACTACAGTCCATGTTCTCAAGGCAATGGCAAAATATCCTTATCTAAAAGATAATTTAAGAGTGAGAAAAGAACCCCCATTTTTATTCCTATATAGGGAAACAGTTCCTAAATATTTTACCTGCAAACTGATTTAGATTTCGTTGTACTTGTTAGCAACAGTACTCTCCATCCCGCCACTCTGATGTCGTTATTCTCAGCAAATGATGATAGGATGAGCCATTTGTCATATGTACCAGATGTGTTCTGACTTACAGTATTGGTGACATTCCTATAACATACAGAGACAAATGCTTGACCGTACGCTCGCTTTCGTCCATACATAGGAGATCATTACACCATATTGAAATCATGATTTGAAAACTGGCTACCTACCAGGGAACTGGTCTCTCAAACTGTACAAAACAGAACCAAACACGTCATGTTTTCGCGAGCTGTTTACACTCGGATATTATGCATGCTAAAATTTAAAGTCACATTTTTTAAAAGTCATGTGCTGTTGTCATACAGTTTGAATTTTGCTTCGTGCCATGTTAAACAAACCCAATCATGTTTGTTTGAATGAATTTACTTAGCGATCTTTTCATATATGAATTCATGAATTGCCGCATTATTAATATCTGTATTTGCATTCAAAAACGATTGGTAATGAGGCTCACAGTTTTAAACAAACCTCTATTCAGGAATTAAATAAAGGGGGTTATTTTGTTAGGTTCGAAGGATGGAGATACTCAGGGTTTTAGGGGTATGTAGACTCGATATTATACCCCCGACCTAAAAGAACAGGGGCATGCAGTTATACTAATTCTGTCCGTCCTTCTGAGGACATATTTTGTGTGAACTATCGCACAACCTTCACTTTTCCGATCTTAGGCAAATTTACATCAGAAAAAAAACCCTCGGCATCCAATGGTTACCGTAGTACGTTATCACGTGCTCGTGTCCCTATGGCGACTGTCTTAGACTTGGACTTAGCTAAGATTTTGCTAAGACCGTTTCAAGATCCAGTCTTAGACCGAATCTTAGCTAAGCAAAATCTTAAAAACTTAAGACAAAATTCATACTTAGCAAAATTTGAGCTAAGACCACTTTCATGATCCCGGGGCCAGTTTCGATTCCCCACTTGGGGACAAAGCCCATTTCCGTGATATTGCTGGAAAATTGCTAAAAGCGGTGTAAATCCATTTCATCCGTTCATGATGCTATGATATTGTATAATGATGGCTCCTTTACTGACTAAAGAACTCATTAGAGTTACTTGGCATGACAAACGGTCAGAAGATGTATAATTTCAAACTAATTCAATTGAAATGAATTTGGCCACAAAATTACCCTTTCCTCGCGAATGGCTGGGTGGAGACAGACATTGATCCTTGTGTGTTTTTTATAAATGATTATTTCTTTAAATAGTGCGCGATAACGCTTTGTACTTACTCCCTATCTTTACCAATTAGAGACGTTGTGGGAAGCCGTCCAATGGCATGCGTTGACAAATCACCAGCCCAAAGAAACTGGTACACAAGAACCACCAGCGTAATCGCCAAAGTCGGAAGGAAGATGCTCTTCACTGTCAATGCATAAATCAATCAAAGTTTATACAACATTTATATGGAGTGAGTTCGTGAATGAGTGAGGTGACGATTACCTTCACTTATGCCGCGTGTATATTGCTATCGCACAGACACCATACCATGCGATAATTTAACATGGATACTCCACTCGGATACATGAAAGTGAGTGAGTGAGTGAGTGAGTGAGTGAGTGAGTATGGTTTACGCCGCTTTTAGCAATATTCCAGCAATATCACGACGGGGGACACCAGAAATGGGTTTCACACATTGTACCCATGTCAGGAATCGAACCCGGGTCTTCGGCGAGTCGAGCTAACGCTTAAACCACCAGCACCGCATCGTGAAACCCATGAACACTGTTGTGGTGCCGACATACCAAGAATCATAATCAACGATTATAAAGGTATAGCGAACACATGGTTAGGTACCGACAATTTGCTTTATATATGCTGTACATATGCTTATAACGAACTTCGGTTATAACGAACTAAACTTAGTAGCCGCTTTGAGTTCGTTGAAACAGTTTACTGTATTTGATACCCGGTACTATTAGCAGCAAAACGGAATGAAATACATTCGGTAATATTCAGTCCTTGTAGGTCGTCAGTATAAGGTCTGTTTGCCAGTCAGATTGGTGAATATAAACATTTCTAGGGGACGTTCTATTTTTTCATTATATTGCAAAAGTTGTCAAAGACTGGTCGATAATCATAGTGGACAAACTACTAAAATAAATGGATGCTGCCACCAGTCACAAAATGTGACAAATAAATACCAGACCTTGGAGACGAGGTTTAGCGAAAATATATCACGAAGATCTATAAAGTTACGAATGTCGAAACTAGCGAAATGCAGAAGAATCACACAACAAGTAGGTTTAGTTCAATAAAGAGTTTATAAATTATTCAATGAACTGAAATATCATGTACATGGACATTGACAGACGCGATACCGGATGTCAACTGTACTGGAAACATTCGTCTTACGGCATTGTCTGTCACACCGTAGCTCTACTTGTCTTTATCCCTCCCACGATTGATATATCTGAACTGTTACAACAATTAAACTGTACAATAAACTTTGAAACTTGAAAGTGTACGAACTTGGCTGCAACCGGAACCGGATCCATGTAATGTAAACAATATATTCCGGAAAGTCACGTGACCCAGAATGAATAACAATGAGGCCACATCTCCGAGAGCTGTCAAAATGCGATTGAAGTCAGGATGAAGTCAAAACCTAATTAAAGCTTGGAATTAAATATATAGGCTCCACTCCAGAATGATCCCTGTAAACATCGGCAGATGACTGACGGCGTCATCGCGCAAATGATCATAATGTAAACAATCCGGTCGGAATGACCTCGGACCCCCAGTATCGCGATGACAATCGACGACTGTCAAAACATCTAAATATAGACTGTCAACTGTAATATTTTATACGGACGACAAATCGCTTGCGACTTGTGATAACTGTAACTGTAACTGTGTATTTACACCTTAGAAAAAAATACCTGCAAGCTTATTATTACAGGTACACTAATATTATTAAATTTGTTACATTGCTGTCAAACACAAAAAGAAGTATCTTACAAAATGTGTCCATGTTCATATATTATGCCTCTTTATACCGACAGAACCTTATGAAAGAATAATCTTAGCTGCTTGGTATTAGGAAACAATTGTCTATATACATTAAGTACATATTTATAGATATTTTCCATCTGAATAAACTACAAACAAAAGAGTTAGAAATGGTATTAAACTACTAGGCTGTCATATGATATTGTGGGACGTGATATTACAAATGGTTAAGTATAGTTATATGTGTATGAAATGATATGATGTGACATGACATGATGTGATATGATATGAAGTGATGTGGTGTGATATGATACATGAGGGGATATGATGCAATATATTATGTGTATTATAGAAATTGTGTAAATACTGTTTTTTAGTGTACATATTATATGCCTTGCGGTCTTCCAGTGTTGAATAAATACTGATTGATTGATATGAAATAAATTGGCATGGAATGACATGGCATTATATGGTATGATAAGATATGATGGGACAAGCTATGACATTGCTAATGTGTTGTGTGATATGACATGTTGAAATGTGATACAATATAGTTGTGATATATGGTACGATGGTATGTATAGTATGTTATGATAATGTTATATGAAATAATACTATATAGTATGATCTTATAATAATGATACAATATGATATGATGTTATAGAATATGTTGTATGATATAACAAGTTGTGATATGGTAATATAGAAATTATGAAATTACAGGCTATGGTATTGTACTGAATGTGTGAAACTATGTGACTGCGTTGAAATGCGAGGTGGAATGACGTGAGGTGATCTGGTGAGATATGTGCATAAATTGTATAAAACTGTATATTCTTCAAATTGTACTATATGTCTCTGGCCTCTTCAGTATGTGAATATAAAGATCAGAACTGTAACTGTAACTTGTATGCTTGAATCATTACAATCTTGGAATATTCCGTCAGAATAAATCCGGAATGGCTGTCGGAATCTCGGAACTGTCATACGTTAACCGGAGGTCAAGAAGATGTCATTCGGATGTCCACAAAAGTAAATAATCACTTATCCGCGATCAAATACTTAGGGAGCAGAACAAGTATTAATATTTGCCATTTAAATTAAAAGCTCTACAATAAAATGCTCTTAGAATGCGAAAAATAGAATTTATCTGTTACTAAACCTGGAACCCTACCTTCCTGGTCAAAGTCAAAATTGCCGCCCCGAAGTTATGTTGTTCTTGCATTAAGTGTTTCGGAGGTCGCCTTCTGCCTAGGCAATTTCGGCTGATCTGTCCCTCTTTGGGAATCCTGTGTGTGAGTAGGGTACACCTATCTATTGTGAGTTTGGTGTTCACATAATTTCTGTTTTTGTATTGATATGATTTCTATTTTCTTATATTGATATGATTTCATTTCTATCCTTGGCAGCTCTGTTTATTACGTTCGAGTAGCTGTCAGAAATAGAGTTAGTTTGGCCTTCGCTATTGCATCTCTTGGCTTTAGGAGGTCTATGACAGATAGCGGATCTAACTGCAATTCTTGTTTTAACCTAGCCCGGGCTGGGGCATGGTCTTGACATTCTAGTAACACGTGATCAATGGTTCAGCCTGATTGCAAGATGGACAAACCTTGTCATAGTGTTTTTGTGACCGAGTCTGAGGCGTGAGATAGCAATTTCAATTTTCCTTTCATTTGAGTATGAGTTTGGCTTTTGTTGGACCTTGGGTTGAATTTTGTAAAGCCATCTGCCGATCATGCTTCCGTCCCATTGGCCTTGCCATCTTTCTGCGATGGAGGCTTTGATTTTGCTTTATATCTCTAGTTTACTAAAGGGAATAGGTTGTATATCCGCTTTGTCTAGAGCTAACTTCGCCAGTGAGTCTGCTTTTTCATTTTTATTTTTTTTCATTTCCCGAGGTTAACCTTGACAGGACTATTTATAGGTGACCTTAAGGTCACATGATACGCAAACGTGACGTCCGAAAATCCAAGATGGCGACCGTAAACATGACTGACGTGAGTGACTCAAGTTAGAATTTACACAGCACTTGACTTATGTCAGCTGTAAATTTGTTTTGATAACGGTGTAGGCGAAATGAGGTGTAG